GATCATTTGGGGTGGGGATAGGAAAAGACTATATATATATATATATATATATATATATATATATATATATATAATTTGTTTGTTTGTTTCTGGGATTCAAAAGACCAGAACAGAAGACTGTGGTAGAGAGAGGAAGAAGAGATTACATTAAAGAGCTAGGCAAGAGAGAATCAAGGAAAACCATGTAACCAGCAAGCACGAGGGAAATGAATGAGTGAAAGAAAGGGATTAAGAAGGGGGACAGTAGAAGGGGTGGGAAAGAAGCAAGGAAATAAAAAGGAAAAGGTAGAAAAAAGGGAAGAAAATGACAGAAGGGGGAGAAGGAGGGAGATGAAAAAAGGAAAGGAAAGAGAGAAAGGAAGGAAGGAGGAGGCAGAAGCCTGGGTCAGCCAGGCGCTCGCTCCGCCTGGCTGCCTGCCGGAGTCTGCGGGGGCGGGGGGCTCAGTGACAAAGTGAAGGTCAAGTTAGCATCGTACCTTATATGGAAGGTGCCGTCCTCCATTTCAGCCTCTCTTTCTGCCAGGACTTGGCCATGGCATTTCTGGTCTTGTAAACACTGGATTCTTTGGGGTCTGAAGAAAGGGGACCTCCCGCCTTCCTTCATTGGGGGTGAGCCCCGCGGGCCAGGGAAGCAGCTCCGGAGAAGTCTACTAATGAAGACTGCGGGGAAACTTTTCTCTCCCTGGCTCCGCTCCTGCCAGCTGGGCCCCCTCCCTCCCGCCCGCCCTCCCTCCTTCCCTCCCTCTCTCCCTCCTTTCTCCACCCAGACGCCTCTTTTCTCTCCACTTCTCTCGTCCGCCGCGCCTCTCGCCTCTGTCTGCGGCTCCGGGCTCCGTCTCTCTCCACGCCCCCCTCTCCCCTCCTGCAGACTTCCAAATCCGCTCCACTCCAACCGCGAAGCGGAGCAGGACGTAAGCATTGGAGAGAAAAGTAGCCGTCACAAAGAAAAGTTCACGTACAGCTTACATTTCTATTCAGGTCTCCTTCCGAAAACAAGGCGGTTCGCTCGGTAAGGAGAAGTGAGGCAGCGCGGGGGCGGGACTGGGGGACCATGGAGAGGCAGGAGACCTGGGTTAATTTATTTCTCAGGACCAGGGGCTGAAAGAAAGGGTGAGGCGTTGGAAAGCGAGAGGAAGGCGTTTTCACCCGGCGGCCGGCAAAGCAGGCTGCCCCCGTGCGCTTGGCAGCCCGGCGCGCCCGCCCGCCCGGAGCGGTGCCCGGCGCTGAACCGCTCAGCCCAGGCCCTGGGTGCGGAGCAAGATAGCCTGTGAAATGTTTGTGGGTCTCAGAGGTGGGGGAGAGGCGTGGATGGAGGGGGACAGGGAGAGACAGTAAAGCGACGCCGCCGCAGCTGGCCCGCCCGAGGGGAAGTGAGCTCCCGAGAGGCGAGGCGAGGGGCGGCAGCGCCTGGGCTGCGGGCAGCGGGCAGGCTTCACCCAAGGCGCTGAGAGAGAGGAGCCTGCAGTGGGATCCTTGATCCTTCCCCTCCAGGGTGCACGAGGGGTGAGACCGAGGTAGAGACGGAGAGAGGAAGAATTTGAACGTGGCGTGGGGTGTCCTTTTTCCTGGACCTCACAGCTTGTTCTCACCGCTCCCCGCCCCAAGAGCCCCCCCCCCTTTTTTTAAGTCTAACCATCGCTTTTTAAGTGGGATTTTTAATGGCGCGAAGGGAGGGATGCTCAGAAGCAATGGTGGGGGCTTCTGGTGCCCCCCAAACCCCTAGTTGTTGTGGCCTCCACCCTTCCCAACTGGAAACCAGCCTCTGGGATCCGTCCCCTCCCTTTTACCTCGTTAGTTGAGGGCGCCTAAGGGACCTGACTGGGGCCCAAGGCCCAGGCTAGGAACTGCCGGGAGCAGCGAGGGTGGTCAGTGGAGCCCGCCCACCCCATGTTCAGATAATGGAAAACACAGGGGAGGATTTGATTATTTCTGCTCGTGTTAAGGATCCCAGCTTTCAAAAGCAGCATCTGACCCTGAGATCTAAGGTGATAATTGTCTTGCCCACAAACATTAATCCAGGCAAAAAGGTCCGACTGCAGGGCTCAGGGGCTGAGGGGGCGGCCAGGGCTTGGACATTTGCTGCCAGGAAGCCCAGGAAGGGAGCAAGGGAGCAGGAGGCCCTTCTTGGTGTTCTCTGGGGTTCTGTAGAGAGTGTTTTAAAAGGTCAAAATGGACTGGGCAAGCCCTTTCTGAGGTGCCCGCGGCTCAAGGAAGAAGAGCTCCCGGAAATACGGGCATTTAGGAGCTGGGACTTTCCCCCATAGTGTGAGGAAAGACGGAGAAGACCAGACCTCATGCTGCAAAAAGTGTTTCAGATCAAAATGTTTCGGATCTGTGACAGAAAATGGTAGCGGCCTGGGAGATTTCGGGACTTGCAGGGCGTGGGGCAGGGTCAGACACTCTGGTGGAGGCGGAGGCTGGGGTCTGGTGGAGGGTGGGTGGAGGAATCCGAGGGAACAAAATTAGAGAGGTATCCCCCAAGCCCATTTCCTCAGAGAAGCAAACACACACACACACACACACACACACACAATGGGCCCCGAGATTGAAAAACACCAGATGATCTGTTTCTAAGGGACATAAACAGGCCAAGCAGATGCAGGTTAATAAAACCCGCAAAAGCCCAGACAGGAACACTTAAAATGCCCTAGAAACAAAACACACCGTGACAAATCCTCATCCAGCACACAAGTACATGCACCAGAATGTTCCCAGGCACAAAGAGGCCTTCTCCATGTCGGGTCTCCACCCGTGGACGCTCAGGTGTGCCTACCCGGCACACACAAAGTTGTGCACGCTCCCAAACCTGCCGGAGAAGCCCTTGGTGGGAGGAGCAAGCACTGAGCTGCACACACACACCCCACAGCGCCAGGCCCGTGTCTCCTGAGCCTCAGTAATGCACGATCCATACCCAGAGATAAAAGTCTAGACAATAGATGGCTGTTTATGACAACGAGTTTGGGGCCAGCGATAAATCTCTGGCGAATCTTCCTGTAACTCAACTTCTGGCCCTTGTGCCCCAAGACAGCAGAGAGGAAAGCAGCAAAACAGGAAAGACTTTTCCACCGTGAGCAGAAGGCCGCTTCCACACTGGGGCTGGCGAGTGCAGGCGGCCACACTGGCCCCAGGTGGCGTGTCCCCACTGTGTGGAAGCTTTTGAATCAAACTTCAGAAAACAGCGGAGTTTGGCTTCCGGGCTCTGGAAATAGGGTAAAATGTGCAGGCAGAGGGGAGGGCCTGGAGGCTGGGACAGACCCACAAACCATTCTTGCTGCAGGCAAAGGTTTTTTGTTTTTTTGGGTTTTTTTGTGACTGGATCTTCTTGTTATGTGTCACCTGAATTCTCTTTCTCTCTCCTTTTCCTTTTTGGACGGATGGGCTGTTCTCTTTTGCATATTCAACCCAGGCATCTGATTACAAGTAAAGAGCCAGTGAGTTGATCTCATAAACATGTTCACTTTGATCTGGAGAACTGGGTCCGAGCCTAAGTAGGCGCTAAAGTCCGAGAATGGTGGGTGTCCTGTCCAACCACCGGGCCTCGCTCCCGACGCTCCACCTGGAGCCCCATCCAGTGGCCCAGCAGGGCAATCCTGGGCAGAAGGGGGAAAAAAGCATTTTCTGTGCTGCTGCAACTGGGTTTGGAACACCAAGATCCAAAAGTAGTTGCTCCATTTCCAGACTGCTTTTAAGACATTTCCTTCATTTTAGAGCATTTGGTGAGGGGGCCCATGAAACTGGCTCGTAAAATGGGACTTTTATGGGGAGAAATGGGGTCGCATTGCTAGCCTCCTGGGACAATCCCTCCGCTGAGAAAGGTGGGTGGGGCTTCGGGGGCAGAGGAGCTGCCCTTCCCCCTCCCCTTATCCTGTCCAGGGGCCAGAGGAGCAGCATCCGTCTGTCTAGGTGGTCTGACCTGGGGCTTGGGCTTGGGGTGATGGCCAGGGCTGAGGAGAGGTGGGGGGCCAAGAACCGGAGGTCCTATCCCCTTCTAATTCCCTAGATGAGTGTCCCCAGTGCAGGATAAACTGCTGGCCTGAAAACCCCCAAGCATACTAAAGGATTATTAAACAGCCCTTATCGCTGTAAGAAAGAGAAATATGTGCAAAAAGATGCAAGCCCATGTTTAAGGAGGGTGCATCCTTGGCAGCCGGCTTCTGAATTGCTGAGAGTGTCCATGTGCTTATTGTTTATCTTTTTATTGATTCTACCCAGCAGGGACCGAATTTACAATTCAAGCCCACCACAGCTCCACCAGCCCCTTCCGCCTCCCGGGTTTTCCTCCCAGTTCAAGGTCGGTGGGGTGGGCCCCTTTCCCTCCCACAACCCATTCTAGAGCCCGGACAGCAGGAGGAGGCGTCACGCTGCCAGGCAGCCTGGGCCGTGTGGAGGATGCTGACTGGGGTCTCCCAGGTGGGAATGTGGGAGATACTGCCCCCTTCTGAAGCTGACTCTGGTGTCCATGTGTGGAAAAGAAGCGAGCCAGAGTTCGTAGCCCTGGCCAGTGGCCAGAGTACCTGGGCAGCTACCCAGACCGCAGCTGCCTGCTCGCGGGCAGGCAGGCAGTGCTTACTGAGGCCATCAAGAGGCCCGGGGTGGGCAGGATGACCCTGCGGAGGAAGGAGGATTCCATGTGAAAGCCGGAACCCCAGGATGGTGGAGGGGCCACAGGCACCTATGAGATGAGAAGGAAAAAGCCACCTCCCCTCCAGGCAGTGGGGATTTCAAGGTTCTTGGGAATAGATTTGGGAATACTGGTGCCCTGGGGTCCAGCCTAGGGCAGGCAGCTCAGTCTATGTTTAGGAGCGGTTTGGACCTAGGGCCAGGCAGGGAGGTCAAGGTCCATAGCCCTTATCGTGGGCATTTTTGCCAATCAATTCTTTGCAGACTTCCGTGGCAAGGGCCTTTTCTCCGTGACTTCAGCACCAACCTCCAGTTGCTGGGATTTTTTTTTTTTTTAAGTTGTTGACAATTTAAGTCCAGACCAAAACTAGGGGGAAAAAATGGAACTTGATGCCTTACTTTTAGGAGGAAGAATATTATTTTCAGAAACCTCTGTTGGGAGACCCTGGACATCGACTCCTTGGACATTCTTTTCTGCCTTTCTTTTTTGTTTCAAGGAAATAGAGCTGCCAGCAGCAACTTGCAGCTGGCTGGCTCACTTTTATGGTGGCCCTGGAATAAACTTTGGTGGTCAAATTCAAGTGCTCAGGCCCACAGCTGTCTCCTCACAGGAAGCGCACCCCCTCCCCACTGTCGGCCCTGGCGGTGCAGAATTTGCCTCGGGGGCCTGGGCCCCACGTTGCCCTGGAGGCCAGGATGGGGAAGAAAGCAGGATCCTGGGAGAAAGTGGAAATCCAAAGCTGAGACACCGAACCCTCATTCACATCTCTGCAAAGAATAGTGGTGTCTCTCACCAACCTCTCACTGGTCCCTATCACTGTTTGGGGAACATTTTGCCTTCTATAAACTAAGGTTTAATGAGGTCAGTATGAACCCCATAAAAGCCATAGTCCATAGTTCCCCATCATTATAATTAAAAACGCTGGCCCCAGCTCACCCTATAAAAGGGGTAGAAAAAGGAGGAAAAGCAACAGACTTTTCTTTCTGCAGCCCCTTACGTACAGAGAAATCACCCTAGAAAGGGGGATTTAAAAAAGGAGGAAAAGCAACAGACTTTTCTTTTTGTAAACCTTTACCAATGAAGCAGTCCAACATTTCTGCAAAGCCCCATATCTAGTTCCTCTTTGCCTTCAGTTAAGATCTAGTCAGGACAAAAGAAGGGCCTTTTGGCCAGCGATGGATGAATGGGCAGAGGGGGCCAGAGTCTTATCCCTGGGTATCCCCAGAGCCACCCCAAGAACGAGACCCGCAGTGGAGGCAGATCCTCCCCAGATGCTGCTCTAAAGACTGAGCAAATGTGGGAAGGCAGGAGGGGTAAGAAGGAATAGACTTTGGGGGGGGGGTTGTATTTGGGGACAAGGCACTGTGTTTGTGTCTTCCACATCTGGTTCTGGGGTCTCAGTACCTCATCCTGCTCAGCAAGGAAAAATCAAATCCAAATGACATTTCAAAAGTGGAAACAAATTTTAATCCAGATTTGGGTGTGAAGATAATTTGGGTCATTCCTGGCTGTTCCTGAGTTGCAATGAGCTGAGTCTTTTGGGGGCTTCGGTTCCTCCCCTCCTTCCAGAACAAATCATGCTCTGACAGCTCCTCCTTGGATCCAAGGTTGCTCTCTGCTCCTGACAGTTGCTCCAGCCCCTTGGACCTGGTCCAGAACCTTTCAATAAAGTGGTTTTCAGCTGACCAAATGTGTCCTGTGGTGTCCAGAGGGATGGGAGGCAAGGGAGGGTAGAACCACCGAGGCCACCCCTTGGGCCACAGCCATCAGAAGGCTGGCAGACAGTGGAAGGAGGCAGGGCAGGTCTGAGAAACAGGAAGGCGGCACTGAGGCCTGGCTGCGGGCCCCTGGGAGCAGGGCTAGAAGCCCCCACCAGGGAGTAGCCCTAGACACTGCCTTGCCTGCCCAGGCTCCTCAGCTCCCCTCTACTGCCCTGTGGTCTGTCTGGAGACCCGCATCTGGCCACACCACCCACCTCCCAGTCCCCAAATCATCTAAGGATAAGAGCTCCAGACCTAGTCCTGCAACCATATCCTTCCGGAACCCCAACATGGGTCTCCTTTTCAGCTCCACAAGCTGAGGCTGAGCCCCCAACCCAAAGAGTAGATACACTGCACTTATTCCAACCTTTTTCTTTGGGGTTTGAGATTAAAAAAAAAAAAAAAAAACCACCGTGGATGTAGCTTTCTGTGCATTGATTGACAATAAAGTCAGGCATGAAATATTCACCCAGGGCCACTCTCTCGTACTAAATATTTAACACAACATTAGAGAAGGTTTTTCCCAGACTTTGCCAGGCACCGGCTGGGCGGCTGGCGCACTGCTTTCCACTCCTTTATGACTAATCTAAGTCCCTAGCTGCCGCAGCGCAGCGAGCCAGACAAAGTTGGAACGTGGGCTTGCTACTGGGCTGCCTCACCTTGGAGAAACTTCAGATACTCTTCTGAGGAGTCTCTCCCAAGGGAAAGGTAGTCTTCACACCCAGCCCCGGCGGGGGGGAAAGGACTGATTTATTCCAACTCTTCCAAGTAGGCGCTGGCCCCTCTCCGGTCGGTGGGCTCCCGGGCTCCGGGTCCCTGAGAGTTGGGGGTGAAGGATTAACATCTCTGGCGGGATCAGGCGGTGGGGAAAGAGGTCCTCATCCCCATCCTAGTCTCTGCTGACGCAGGGGAGGAGGCTAGAACCCCTTCCGTGAGAGCCCACCTCCTTCCCCCAATCCTGGGGAAGAGAGCGCAGCAGCTAGGAAAAATACATCTACCCCCTCCCAGCCACCGCCCCTGCCCATCCCACCGCCCACCCCACCCTAAGCCTCTCTCTCCTCCTTTGCTCGCTCTGTGGAATGGAGAGGAGGGGAGCGAGAGAGGGAAAACGAATACAAATCTGCAATTGATTTTCATAATGTTTCTGCGGTGTTTGCAAACCAATCGCCTGAACGTCCCCATCTTACCTAAGAGAGAACCCCTCCTACGTCTGCGAAGTGCTCCGAACTGATATATGACAATATCTACTTTGGATCACGTGCTCGGGGAGAGAGAGACTAAGACGGATAACGCGTCATCTCGCCTTCCCAAATTTTCCCCCCTCGCTCGACCGGGTCCAAAACCTCCATCCGGAGCCGGCAGGAGAAGAGAACGATGTTTAACTCGGTCAACCTGGGCAACTTCTGCTCGCCGTCGCGCAAGGACCGGGGCGCCGATTTCGGGGAGCGAGGGAGCTGCGCCTCCAACCTCTATCTGCCCAGTTGCACTTACTACGTGCCCGAGTTCTCCACCGTCTCCTCCTTCCTGCCCCAGGCCCCCTCTCGCCAGATCTCCTACCCCTACTCCGCCCAAGTGCCCCCGGTCCGGGAGGTCTCCTACGGCCTGGAGCCCTCCGGCAAGTGGCACCCCCGGAACAGCTACTCCTCCTGCTATGCGGCGGCCGACGAGCTCATGCACCGAGAGTGCCTGCCTCCCTCCACCGTCACCGAGATCCTCATGAAGAACGAAGGCTCCTACGGCGGCCACCACCACCCCAGCGCCCCGCACGCGGCCCCCGCGGGCTTCTACTCCTCCGTCAACAAGAACAGCGTCCTGCCCCAGGCCTTCGACCGCTTCTTCGACAACGCCTACTGCGGCGGCGGCGGCGGCGGGGACGCTCCGGCCGAGCCCCCCTGCCCCGGCAAGGGCGAGGCCAAGGGGGAGCCCGAGGCGCCCCCGGCCTCGGGACTGGGGGCCCGAGCGGAGGCGGGGGCCGAGGCCGAGGCTGAGGAGGAGAACACGAACCCCAGCTCGTCCGGCTCGACCCACTCGGCGGCCAAGGAACCGGCCAAGGGAGCCGCCCCCAGTAGGTAGCGGCGGCCGGGAACCAGGCGGGCGGCGAGAAAGGGCGGGCGGGAGGGCGAGCATGGGGAGGTGGGGGGGGGGGGTGAAGGCGAGGGGAACGGGGCCGGCCTCGTGTTTTGGGTCAGCCTGATTTTATGTGGAGTTTTATAAGCATTCAAAGGATTTTATTATAACCTACAAAGCCCTCTCTCCCAACGACTCGACTTTTTACGACGGAGACAGGGTGGGGAGGGAGGGGAAAGGGCTCTTTAGAAAAAGCCGGGTGGACACCCCCCCCTCCCCGTCCCCGTTATCTCCGTCTGTCTGTGAAATTTTTAAAAGCGCCACCATCGCGGGCAATATTAACTTTGATCGTGAACTTAGAGGAGCATTTAAGGGAAGGACGGGGAGCCGGGCTGCGGAGGGGTGGGCGGGAGGGGAGGGGTGGAGGGGGAGAAAGGGGAGGGCGAGGGGAAGACAGGGAGAAACTCCGAGAGAGGGGGAGTGGTGGGAGAGAGAGGCGCTGGAGCAGAACCTGGGGCCGAAGGGGCCCGCCAAGGGCTGCTCCGCTTCTTTTAAAAAACTAATTTTGAAATGTTCAAACTGTGTTTTCCTGGGTCCTTGGGCAGAACCCAGAGTCACGCTCGGGGTCGGCGGCGACGGAGGGACGGGGCGAGGCGGCTCCGGGGGCCGCTGGGCTGCGGACCTGGGTCCCCGAGGCTCCCCGCGCCCCGCGGCCTCCGCGCCCGCCCGCCCGCCCGCCCGGCGCCCGGGGAGGCGCGGCCAGGGCCCCCGGAGCGGCTCCCGGGAGTCCTCGGCGCCCGCTCGCTCTGCTCGCTCTGCTCGCCCGCGTCCTCCCGCCTCCCTCGCTCTCTCCCTCTCTCCCTCTGCGCGCTCCTTCTCCGCGCCCCCCCTCCAATTTCTGGGGGAGGGACGGCGCATTCCCCGAACCCCTGGGAGAACAGGGGAAGGAAGGGCCGAGGCCGCCGGCTGAGCGGACCGGGCCGGGGCTGGGGACGCCCTGGGCCCCGCAGGCGGCCTTCTCCTCCTGGTCTGCACCCGCCCAGGCTCTCGCCTGCGGGGCGGGGGTCCCGCGCGCCCCGGGTTGGGGACCGGCTGGACCAGGCAGGGGTTCGCGGCGGCCGGCCCGGCGGGAGGGCGCCCGCGGTGGGGCTGGGCGCGGGGCCGCCGGGCGCCCGGTGTGGGCTGGGGTCGCCCGGGTCTCACGTGTCTCTCTCCCCCTCTCCTCGCACCTGCCCCCTCCCCCTCCAGACGCCCCTCGCACCCGCAAGAAGCGCTGCCCCTATTCGAAATTCCAGATCCGGGAGCTGGAGCGCGAGTTTTTCTTCAACGTGTACATCAACAAAGAGAAGCGGCTGCAGCTGTCCCGGATGCTGAACCTGACGGATCGGCAAGTGAAAATCTGGTTTCAGAACCGGAGGATGAAAGAAAAAAAACTCAGCAGAGACCGGCTGCAGTATTTCTCGGGGAATCCTCTGCTGTAACCCGCAGGCCGGGCCCTTTTCTGGGGAGCGGGAAAGGGGGAGATGATTATTTTATTTTATTTCTTATTTTTCGTTTCCTAACTCGCCTTCTTTCCGCGGGTGGAAACCTGGACTGTGGCCAGGGCCGTGGCCCTTCCTTCCTTCCGAGCTCCCACCCCTCCGGCCGGACTCTCGCCCCGGACGGGCCGGGCCTGGGAGGAGGGCGAAGGGAAGCGGCTGGCCCTCGGCGAGCGGACTCCCTGGGCGCCGAGGCCAAGACTTTATTTAAAAGAAAACACACCTCGCGACGAGGTCCTGCTGCTCCGGCCGGGTGGGGGCGGGGCAAGAGCCGTGGCGCCTGAGCCGAACTAAAAGCTTCCCCCCCTTTGCAAGTGAACAGATCTGCTACCACGCCGCCGCCGCGTCTGCGGCGGAGACTTCTGGGGCGACCGGCCCCGACCCCACCTGCCCCGCGGCCGCGGCCGGGGGGCAGCTAAATGTGATCCTGCTTTGCTGTGAAATGTCCGTACCTTCCGACCTGGTGTTAGGTGTGCAAAGTCCGTGTCCTACCTCCGTCTGCGCCCAGGCCCCGCCCGAGCCTAGCTGTCCTCCCTGTGAATGTGTAGAGTCCTCCTTTGCAATGTCCGGACTGGTGCATTGAGGTTTCCCAACCTTTTTTCCAAGTCGTGACCCCCATGGGTTTATAGCGATAGTCCATGCAGTTGTTGCCCCCCACTGCACTCTCACCTTTATTTTATTTTTATTTTTTTTAAGGAATAAAAGATCGGTGTGGGTGAAGCAGTAGGGAGATGGGACTGGGCACCTCCCCCGTCCTGGGGCCTGAATTTTTGTAAATAAATTTCGCAAGCGTTTCTTTCTACCCCGAGGCGATAGGGGGGAGGACTCGCCTGGAATGAGATTCAAATCACCCACCTCTCTCCTCCGTGTGCGTGAGTGCGTGTACAAGTGCAATCCCCACCCTGCTTCTGTCCCAGAGGGATTGCTGTGAAATTCTTATGGTGGCAAATAAAGATATTTCATTCTGTTCAATATTATGATTTTATTTGACCCTTTTATTAGCCTCTCTCCTCTTAAAACCCTCAGTGCTCCCAAGGTGGAGGAGGCGGCACCGGGCAGAGCCCTGGTGGTGTGGACAGGCGGGGAAGGTGAGGCAGGCCGGGGCTGCTGGGCCTGCACCCCACCCCCTCCTCTCCAGGGACAGGGGGCCCAGAGTGTGGTGGTAGCTTCCTCCTCATCTCAAGCTGAGAATATTCCGTGGCTTCTCTTAAAGCTCTCCTTTCTCACGTGCAGCCCAAGCAAGCTGCGTCCAAATGCCCGGCAATGCTTTCCGTTTAAGTACACGTTTGTTGTGGAGTTAATTGTAACCATCATCAAATTTAAATTTATAGGAATTTTCTTGGCTCCACTGCCCTCCTGCCAGATGTCTCCGTCTGTTGCAGTTAAATGTGTAGGGTTGAGGATAGGGCGCTCTCTCTCTCTCTCTCTCTCTCTCTGGGAGAAGACTGTACTGGATTTTTTTTTATATACAATTTTGAAGGAGGGAGGGAAAAGGAGCAGAAACCTTTTCCTTCCTCACCTTAGCTGCCCCTGAGGGTGGGGAGGTGGAACTGGGCCCTTTCCCCTCCAGCACAAATGGCCAGGCTCCTCCAGACACAACAATACCTCAGGCTGGGGCCACCCTAATGTTTATACACTTGGCATCCCCAGAAGAAAGCATAGGGATTTGCTTTCTAACAGGTTGGCATGGGGTGCGACACTGGGGAAGATGACCTGTGTGAGCCGTGGGCCACACCTATGCATGTTTTTCTATGTAAAGATAACATAGGCCGTTCCTCACTGCACTTTCAGTGAGGGCATTCCTGCCATCTCCAATACAAATTTGTTTCTTATTTGGGGTCAGAGATTTGAGGCCAATACTTGTCTCTTTCCCCCACATTGGAACTGCTCTTATGCAATTCAAAGAAAATGTTTTTGTCAATACAGATTCTGCTGAAGGAAAGATAAAAGTGCCAAGACAATGGACTATTGCTTCTGGTCTCCATCTTCCTTTTTTGATGACTGGAATCCCTGCAGTTTAGGTATCTGACTCTCTAACTTAAACATGTGGTTTGGAGACAAAATTTGCAAACTAAGCTGCATAGACAATGCAGCCCCACAGTTCCCCTGTGCCCCACACAAATATGTTTAAGTCCGTGTGCCTGTGGGTACACACAAGAAAGAATAGCATTTGCACGCTTTCCTTGTAGCATGAACCAAACCTGGCCACACGCACACCTAGGCTGTGTCCTCTGTGGTGTGTCACTTAGGGCAGCGTTTGGTGATGAGCAGGAATGCAGCGGAGGACCCTCTGTGTGTGAGTGTGTGCGTGTGAGACTTCTCTAGGTGTTTATCTACCAGTCATTTCCAGGAGTGTTGGCCTGCTGGCCACGTTTCCCATAAAATAACATGAAGATAACTCTGTAGAACAAATCCGTTATAAAGCAAGATAGTAATCTCCAAAGACTCCCGATGTTGGAGAAAAAAATATTTTAAATCCTCAACTACCACGTTCCTTGCCATGTGCAGCCCAGAAAAGGTCCCGGACTCCAGGAGGGATTTCTGAAGGTTGGTTGGGGGAGTCACAGCGAAAGAAAAACAAAGCTGCTGTGACCCTAGGCCCTGAGACCTGCCAGTCCTTGGTGACACTCTAAAAAATAAGGGGGAAAAATACAGGGTTCCTGTCTCCCAAACAAACCCACTTTCGGACCCTGGGGATGTCCAACACCCTTTTGTCAGGGCCACTCTGGGCCCAACTTCTCCGGGTAATCCCCTCCAGCCGAGGCGCTGCCCGGGAACAAAAGATCCCCGTCTAGACGCCGCCATAAAGCGTTCCCCCCACCCCACCCCTGGCCTCTAAACCCAGTTTCATTTCGCCCTTAACGACCCAGTCTGGCCTGTGTTAGAAAACGCTTCCGCCCTAAATAGTAAACAAACCGGTAGTGGAAGGTCTTGGCACCCCCAACACTCCCCAGACCCCCACTCCATTACCCCCTTGCCCGGCAGTTCCCCCTTCTCTAGCCTTTCTCGGCTCTCAGCTCCCCAACCCCCTTTCCCTGCCGCCGCTCCCCCACCCCCAGTAAATAAACCCGAGGCCGAGTTCAAAGTTTCCTGGAGCTAAGGAGGAATGTTGGTTGTAAAAATCCAAGTTTATAGCGCACGTGGGAGTTTACAAGGGTATTAAGTGGTGTGGGCTGAGAGAGAGCACTCTGAGCCCCTCCCCCTCCTGCTACGGGTTTTGGGGGTGCAGGAGGAACCTGGGCGGACTTGAAAAGAGAAGTGGGTCGGGGCTTGGGGTTTCTTTGTCACGCAGACTCTAGGTTGCTGGGAAAGGATGATGCCAGGGCCCCTCGGAAGATGGCTCACAGGCACCCACCGAGAGGCTCTGAGAGAAAGCCCATGGGTGCTGCTGGGTCTCCCAGACAGAGAGGCTGGAGAGCGCTGCTCTGAGGGTTGCAGACCAGATCTCTGGGAGGCGAACAGACTTGGGGACACCTGGAGCCAGTTCTCAACCAGAGGGGGGCAGACTACCTGGGGCGAATTTCTTGAGTGGTCTAAAAGCCAAGAGAGGACTTTTCTCTCCAGAGCAAAGAGGAACTTTGAACTTCAAGGGAGTCAAGGGCACCAACCCTTCCCTCTCCCAACCTCTCTCAGCGATCTGCAGGGCCAATATTCCCTCAAGGGGGCAGTCCCTGGGGTTTCCGGTGCCCCGGGGCTGGATCGTGCTGGGCCGAACCCTCCCTTCTCACAGAATCCCTTGCACGCGACTACGCTCTTTATTATTCATATAAACCTTTGGAAAAGGCATCCCCCGGAAGTTTTTATAACTTTGTTTGGCATAAAAGTTTTTACAAGATTCCTCCTCCCCTTTTTTTAAAACTTAAAGTTTTGGTGTTGCTATGACTGAAATTGCAAGATTTGGGGGAGGTTGGGAAGACAGAGGCTGGGATGCTGGTGGTGGTGGGGGGGATCTGGAGTTGTCTTGCTCAGCCTGAGGCAAAATAAGGCTTAAAAACTGAGGTCAATATCTTCTGAGGCCCACATTGGACCCAGCTTGGGGACTGCCAATGTCAGCAGGACCAGACCTCCACCCTCATGCCCTCTTGTTTGAGTGCAGGCGTCACTCTCGAGTGCTCTCTCTCTCTCTCTCTCTCTCTCTCACACACACACACACACACACACACACACACACACACCCTGCACACACTCTCAACCCACTGCAAAAAGTAGAAACCCATAACCTTGATTCAGACCACAGATTTGGGATGTGGGAGGGTCTCGGTACACACAGCTCTGCCTCCCGCTAAATCCTCAATGAGTTTGAAGAAAGAATTCAAACCGCCAAAGAAATTCAACCCAGAGGTTGCAGTGGTTGCCCGGCAGGAGGAGGAGGATGGCCAGCAGGGCTGCAGTCTGGGAGCTCGGAGAACAAAGGTGCCCAAGTGGACATGGCCTTGGGCTACCACGCCGGCCAGTGAGCCCTTGGATCCGCTCCTTGAATCACATGGGACTGACAGAACCCCGCTCCTCCATTTCCCCTCACCGCAGCCTTAGGGAAATCAATTGGGCTCAAATTGAGGTTACTTTACTGTTCGATTCTGGAAGTCAACACAAAGATGAAGCTAATTCTGCAAAGACAGGCCTGCCGGACAAGGCTCCGTTGGGGAGACTGAGATGAAGATACCTGAGCCCGGGAACCAGCGCTGCAGAGAGCCATCGGAGTCCGCTTCTCCTCTAATGGCGACTGTGAAGGCCTGGCCTCTGGCTGCTGCAGCCCTATACTTCCCCTTGTGAGGAGCCGAATTAAGACTAAAAGCAGGAGAAGGTCAATTCCAAGCCTGCGCAGCCGGCTCGGGAGGGATGCAAGCAACCGAGCCTGATTCTCTCCCCTCACAGAGCCCATCGAAACAGACAAACAAGAAAGGCTAGGGAAGAAAGTCAAGAGGAAAGGAAGCACTGAGGAGAGAAAAGAGCAAAGAATAAATGTAGAATAAGGAAAGAAAGAAGGAAAAATGAGAAAGACGATGAATTAAGGAAGAGGAAAGGATCAGAAAACGGGAAGGGAAAAATGAACTGCAGAGGGGGAAAAAGAGAAGAAAAATGCAGAAAAAGAAGGGGGAGCAAAAAATAAATAAAAAGAAATAAGAAAGGAAGGAAGGAAGGAAGGAAGGAAGGAAGGAAGGAAGGAAGGAAGGAAGGAAAATGATGGAAAACATCTTGGAAAAGGAATGCAGCCGGTAAGGAAGAGCGGGAGTTCTCACTGGAGTGAGCCGGCCCAACCACAGTCCCCTCTCCGGCTGGAAACCCGACCTACTGGGGCAACTTGGAAGCAAACTATTAAAGTGGGGAGCAAGGCCTTCCCCCCACACACATCCTCCCATCCCTCTCTTCCTCCCTAAGCTTCTCTTGGACGCGTTTGCTATCTGGTTTCGATTTGATTCAGGCAAGGTTAAAGCATTGGTCGGCTTCCGAAAGGCAGAGAAAGCGGTTATGCTGGTCAGGCTATTGGACTTCTGGACTCGGGATTGCAGGAAGCGCATTGTTGGGTAAAAGAGAATATTTGTGGGTCTGTGTACAAAATTAAACACAACTTAGACACGCGTGTAATTGGTAAACCCCATAGCATCAGGATGCAAATGTGTGCACAAGGTCCAGATGTGAGAGCGACTCTACTGGTTGGCTTCCCCGGGTGGAGTGGCTGCGAGGTCCCGGAGACCGAGGCCCCTCCGGGCGTCCTCCCATCTCCCTCTCTGTACCTGTTTGCAAAGCCCTTTCCTGGGCTTCTGAGCATTTGTATTTTGTCTGGGATTTCCTTTCACCCAATTAAGCCGAGGCAGAGTCCGGTGTTAGCGGAAAAAGAAAAGCAAATCTTTCTTTCAAGTTTTAGAAGGAAAATTATTTATGTGAGACTCCAAAAAAAAAGAGGGGGAAAAACCCTGCAATTTCCACTAGTGTGATTTTCTTCTCTATTTTGCTTGATGAGATTTCAAGACACACACACTTTCATTTTTATTTTGCCACAAAGGGAGAGACACTTTTCCTTTTTCTCTTCACCTTTGGAATTTCCTAGGTGATTGCCCTTACCTCTTGGAGAAACTTCACTAATTTTCCTTGGCAAAATCAGGGTGTTTCTGGGGTGCTTTTTTGAGTGTTTGAGAAAAAAACAAAACAAAGCAAAACAAAAAAACAGCCAGCGGAAGTTCCTTTCTGTTTGTGAAGCCCTCCATTTTTCTTCTATTTTTACATGGAGACCCCGAGTGCCCCAGCTTTCGGCCTGCCCCCCCCTCAACCCACCGAACACACCGGAATATTCCAGGATCACCTTCCCCCCTCCCTTGCCCACAGTTCCTCCTGTGGCAGGAGGCCCAGCCTGCCTCCCTGCTTTCTTCCCAAGGTCCGGGTACTGGGAAGAAGGGCCCAAGGAGCCAGCACCCTTGGGGTAGGAGGGATTTGTCACGATGTGGGTGCAGCCTGAACCCCTCTCTGGCCTGCAGCCCCTGGATTTTTACATCCTCAAGTGGAGGCAAGAAGAAGAAGCCCAAGAGTCACACAGTTCTCTTGGCGCTCCTGGGAAGTTGGGGAAACGTCTCAACATGGCAATTCCAGCAACACAGACTTCTTCCGACCCGATCCAGTTCCCGATCCAGTTCCCTGGGGTTCAGGCCGGAAGGCCTTGGCCCCAGGGAGCAGGGCCGGTGGGCGCCTGGCGGCAACTCCGGTGCCTTTGAACGCCAGGCCCGGACAATAGGGCTGAACCGGCCTTTGCTCGTGGCCTCAGGAAAGACCGAGCTCAAGGGGGGCCCAGCGACCTGCCTAAACGCTCCTCTTGCCCCCTCCCTACCCTCACCCCTCAAGCCTTCCTTCCCATCACCCCCCTGGGGTAGAATCCCAAAGTCTGAAAAACCCTACAAGTTGAACTCAGGTCTGCGTCTGCACAGGCTCCAGTTTAACGGCTCCGAGTTTGCGTTTATCCTGCGTAATTAAAGGCAAACATTTGTCCCACCGGGGGTCCTACTTAGGCTGATGAATTTGATTTCTTTTTTCATTAATGGGCCGTGTTTATCATACTTCTAATTATTTCAACTTTAAACACTATTTGTTCTTGTGAGGAAGTGCGAGTCCAGGCGGGAGGTTCCTTGTCCCACGGGGATTCCTTCCATTAATAATGACGAGGATTCGGGAGCCACTCAGTCCCCTCCCCCGGGTGAGGTAAGGAGGCAGTTGGCCTGGGGGTCGGACAGGCAGGGGAGACTGGACCTAAAGCCGAGTGACTTCACTCCCTTCCCGCTGGTTCCCCAGGCTGTGCCCAGGGACTCGCTGTGTTTGAGAGGTAACCTGGAGTTCGCCTCCTTCTCCTTCGCCCTGCTCCTCAGCCTCCCTCACCCCCTCCCAGGCCAAGCTCAGACCCTTTCTCTGAGGCTCCCGGGCGAACTTCCATTTCCTGCTGCCCTAGCCGGATCGCAGCCTAGGGGGGCGAGGCTTCCCAAGTTCTGGGCAGGCCCCGGCCCCCAACACCGAGAAAAAAAAACAAGGAAGGCCAAGGTGGCCAAGGGGCACCTGAGCAGAGGGAAGGGGCCCAGCGGAACCCCGAACTAAGAGCGAGGGCAGGCGTCTGGGCGCCAGACTCCAAGGACAGGCACACCGAGGCAGGAAAATAAAGAGACGCTGGGAAAGAGGGGGGGGAACCCCCCAAAGCCATATAATTTCCAATTGCTCTGGTCTTTAATTTCATCGCCCCATAAATGAGGAAATATCAGTTCCCATACTAAATTTTTATCCCCGGCTGATAAATATGACGGGGGATTTTCGTTGGGTCCTCGTAAAAGCGAGCAGTTTCGATCAAACTGGAGGGGAGAGACTTATGCAGATAATGCAAACAGAGTGGCCATAAAGTCTCCTCGGTCTCCCTCGGGGTGGGCGGTGGGACAAAAGGCTCTCTGGATATTGGGCTCCCGGGCTGTCCCAGGTCTCCTTTGGAGCCTAAACAGCCTAACCTTGCCTGGGCCAGCCCCTGTGCCGAGCCCACGGCGGCAACCGCTGCAAAGGAAAACACAAAACCATTTCGAATCTCCGCCGGCTGGCCCTGCGAGCGAGTCATACATTACAGATGTTCTTCCAGCTTTTCCTGCTCTTCCAGGTGTAGGGACCCCCGCGCCTTCTCTCTGGACCACTGGATGAGAGAATCCAGGGGATTTGTTTCCGAAGTCCCCTTCTTGCTGCCCCGGCCCAGGCCTCCTCAGAGCCATCCAGCCTCCTCACCGCTCCACGCAGAGCTCCAGTCTTTTCTTTCCCCGCCCGGCTCCAGCTCTTGGGAAAGCAGAAACCTGAGGCTTGTCCAGGGGGAAATGTGGGGCGACCAGAAAAACAAGTTATTTCCCAGGTTCAGTTTCCTAAGGAAGGCGTGGAGGGTTTCGTTCGCTTGGGGAGAAAGGCGGTGGAGAAACGAAAAGAACTATTTCAGACATGCTTGCCCCTTACTCCTGGCTTCCCTTTATTGAAAAAAATAACCGCATTGATAGACTCGAACCTTATCTCCTCTCAAAAATGCCCCCCCCCCCCCGGCTCGTTCGCTCTGCAAAGGACAATTCTCTGGGTAGGATTTTGCGGAGTCTGGTGTCTTGGTTTTCCGTGTGAGACGCAGCTCTTTCAAACCGGCTGAGGCCCCGCAGGGTCCCTCTTTCTCTCTGGGAATAGTCCCTGTATTTGTGGGAGCAAGGTCAATTGGAAAGCGGGGGCCTCTGGGGCCTGGAGCAAAGCAACCAAACCCAAAGGCCAAAGCCTCGCTGCCCCGAGACGGTGAGCTGGGAGCCATCCACCCAGCCAGGCCCAGGCGGCACTCCTGGGTCCGACCCGTCTCAGCCACCAGCTTCCTCCTCCGCATCCTGGATCCGCTCTCGGAACCTCCTTTGCCCAAGCAGCCCTGAAGTGATGGGACCCCTTCCCTGACCTCTCCCTCTCTGGAGATTCCCTGCCAACTCCCAGGGGAACTTGAAACTTGATCAACTTCCGTGACTGGCGGTCCCCCAGCTCGCAGTCCCCAAGGCCACGCACGGGCCGGCCAAAGGAGAATACAGGAAAGCAGAAACTTTCGTTCTGTTTGGGATTCCATAACTTTTTCTCCATTTCTCTGCCTCCCCCCCCCACCAACCCTCTCCCGCCAAACCTTACCCTAGTCCCTCCCCAAGGGAAGAAGCCGAGGCGAGAGTCCAAGGAGAGGAAAAGGGAGGTGAGGAGAGAAGGGGAGGAAGTACCTGAACGGTGTCTTGACCTTTTTAAATTTGAATTTGACTGTTTTGAGCCGCGAGTTACCTTGCTCCCTCCGTCTCTCCTGCGTTCCCCCCCTTCCTACCCCCTTCCCCAGGAGTACAGGCTGGTTCCCGGGTAAACAAACCCCGTTCTCCCTACGACACCCTCCACCCCCACCCTGCCCAAGCTCCCTCCACCTCCCTCCTGCCCCCGTCGCCCCCGGGCGCTTCCTTTGTTCGCGGCGGAGTGCTCGGCCGCCCCTACCCCGAGGTGGTTGCTAGGTGGCGCTGTTACTCCACGCTCCGCGCTCCGCCCGCCGACAACTTGACCCCGCTGACGTCACGGCCGTCTGAATCATCAAGGCCATTTTCAAATCCCATTGGTCTAGCTGTCACATGGTGAGGCCCGAATGTGCGGATAATTATGGAGCTGATATTCCCCCCCTCCCTCCTTTCTCTTCCCGCCCCCTCGAACCGCCCCCCCCTCCCGGATGGGGGGAAAAAAAGATGTCAGCTCCTCCGCCGTAGTATTGCTCCTTAAAAACCCCTCTCTCTGAAAATGACATGCCCTCGCAATGTAACTCCCAACTCGTACGCGGAGCCCTTGGCCGCGCCCGGCGGAGGCGAGCGCTATAGCCGGGGCGCAGGCATGTACATGCAGTCGGGGAGTGACTTCAACTGCGGGGTGATGAGGGGCTGCGGGCTCACGCCCTCGCTCTCCAAGAGGGACGAGGGCAGCAGCCCCAACCTCGCCCTCAACACCTACCCGTCCTACCTCTCGCAGCTGGACTCCTGGGGCGACCCCAAGGCCGCCGCCTACCGCCTGGAGCAACCTGTTGGCAGGCCGCTGTCCTCCTGCTCCTACCCACCTAGTGTCAAGGAGGAGAATGTGTGCTGCATGTACAGCGCGGAGAAGCGGGCCAAGAGTGGCCCCGAGGCAGCGCTCTACCCCCACCCCCTGCAGGAGTCCTGCCTCGGGGAGCACGAGGTGCCCGTGCCCAGCTACTACCGCGCCGGCCCCGGCTACCCCTCCGCGCTGGACAAGCCGCCCCACTGCGCCGCCGGCACCAACGACTTCGAGGCCCCCTTCGAGCAGCGGGCCGGCCTCCACCCGCGCGCCGCCGAGCATCTGGAGTCGCCCCAGCTCGGGGGCAAAGTGAGTTTCCCCGAGACCCCCAAGTCTGACAGCCAGACCCCTAGCCCCAGTGAGATCAAGACCGAGCAGAGCCTGGCGGGCGCCAAAGGCAGCCCGTTGGAGAGCGAGAAGGAGCGGGCCAAACCCGCCGCCGACTCCAGCCCGGACACCTCGGATAACGAAGCAAAAGGTAAGGCCGCCCGCCTGCCTGGGCCGTGGCCCGGCTGGAATGCTCGGTTATTTGGTCTTCCTGCCCGGGGTCGGGGAGGGTGGAGAAAGGCAAAAGGTTGGGCCGAGGAGGCCCTGGAGGGTCCTGGGAATAAGACCCGGCTTGCGACTCCTGTGTGCGGAGCGCCCGGCGGGGGCGCGGCATTTGGCGGGGGAAGGTGAGCGGCCAAGTGGAGGTGGCGGCGGCGGCCGTGGCGCCCAGACCGGCGTGGCCATGGCGCGCCCCGCGGGCAGTCTGCGGCTGCCCAGGCGGGTGGCCACTCCTGGGCATATGCTGGGTTCGGTGGGCTCGCTCTGCGCTGTGGTCCCGGTGCGGGCTGAGGTGCCCCCGCTCAGGTCAGAAGCTTGCAAAAAAAAAATTAAAAAAAAAATCTTAAAATGGCGATCTTGGGTCAGGGACTAAGGAAGACCGGGGAGAAAGGAGATTGCGCTTGAGTGTGTTCTCCCAGTTGAAAATTGTTTCCTGAGAAGCGCGGGTTTGTTGTTTGTGTGTCTCCTCTGTGCGTGTGGTTTGGGCTCCTGCGGTTTTGGGCCGGGCCGGGGACTAGGGCAGCGGGGCTAGAGCGGAAGAGGTGGAAGAGGTGGAGGTGAGAGGCTGCCCCAGACTCCTCGCTTGGGTATGGCGTTGGAAAGGAGCATTTGGACTGTTGTAAGTTTTGGGGTTTTTTTTTTCCTTCCCTTTTAATTTTTTTCTTTTCCTTTTCTCTGGTTAAATTTTGTTTTCGTTGTTTCTAATAGCTGCTTACAAAGGAGTGGCTGGGGAATGTCTGTGTGAATGGCAAGGAAGTGTGGCTTTAGTTGGTTTGCATTGTGACTTTGGTCTGAGAGAGAAAGCTTCGACAGAGTTCAAGCTCAGGGTTCAAGATTCATTTTTGCTGCAGGAGCTGGAGGCCTTGGGGACCTTCCTCTGACACCTGGAGAGGAATGTGGAGGGAACAAATGGGTCCCGCCCTCAGGGGAGTGAGGCTGAGGAGACCTACTCTCCCCGAAAAGTTGGAGCCCAAAGCATCAGGAAGGCCCAACTGGGAGGGGAGGGACGCTGCTCCCCAAGGCGCGGGCTGCTGGGGGCTGTCTATAAGAGGGGTTCTCTGAGTGTGGAGGCAGATGGACTGGTAAGAGCTGAGCAGCCTGGTTCTTGTGGTGCTTTGTATATGGATGCGGCACACGCATGCCTGGAGACCTGTGTCCCACTCACACATACACCCCTCTCACATGCTCCGCACACACGCATGCCTGCTCACACTCACACACACACACACACACACACACACACACTCTTTGGGGGGGCAAGGGCTAAGCCTCTCTTCCTCGGGTCTCCTCTGCAAAGGTGGCCTTGGCAAATTTCCTCATGGAAACCCTGGCCAGAAGACCAGGTGTGTTCAGGAGCGAGCGTGAAAGAGAGAGTGAGGCCCCCTCACCCACAAAGACTTCGTTGTGGCATTTGTGCAACATGAAAGTTTAATGGTACACCTTTTCCTCAGACCCTGAACTTGGTTGGGGAGCAGATATGTAGGATAGGAGAAGCTGTTATGGCCCCACCAGAAGCAAAGTCAAGGTTAATAAGTTCATCTCCTGACTCAAACTGCCCCCATTCTGGTGGGCTCCCTTTTCTCTCCTGCCCTCCCCCCCCCAAAAAAAAATCTAAATCGTCCCACCCCAACTAATCCCTCTCAGTCCGCTCTTTACTCCTGCCCTTCTTGCCTCCCCTCTCCCATTTTGATGTCACCACCTGGCCAGAGGCGAGAGGGCTTTTGGCCAGACTTCACCATTTGTAATTTCTTCCCTTCCCCCAAAACCCAGCACACCCAATAAGAAAATAAACAGGACAGAGTTAGAGGTGAAAAGCCTCCAAACGATTTGACTGGAGGCTTCAGGTGCAGAGATGGGAGCAGAAGGAAGGGCATTTGGATGTTTTAAAAACTACCGCCTCAAGTTTGCATTCTTCTGGTGCCTCCTGGTTCCCCTGGGCCCCCCATCTCACTCCCCCAACAAGATAAGACCCAGGAAGCTGGCAATTCCATTGGGCGTGTGGGAGACAGAGTGCAGAGCCATAGCAGGGTCCTTTGCTGGGTGCCCATCTCTGGTCTCTGGACTCTGGGTTTCTCCCTAGAAAAGATAGCCCTGATCTCTTTTGCTGCTTAAAGAGTAAGACCGGTCCATTTCAGCAAGAACATGGTCCAGGGAGAGAAGCTACCCATAAGATAATGGGAAATACACACTCTACTTATAGTACCTCCTTATACAAATAACATGTCTGCATGTGTGTAGGAGAATGCTTTGCAGGAATACACACAGGCATGCAGTCATCCATCTCTATGTAGATATGCAGGCAGGAGATTTCCAAGAGGCTGCATTTCCTCAGGATATCTCTCTTCCTTGACCTCAGGTCCTATGGCCAGGGCTGCTGTCCGAGGACCACGCAGCATGCCCCAGAGCCGTTGCCCCTGACCTCTGCTGCCTGTACAAGTTCCCTTGCCTCACTATTGACACCCCGGGGGAAATGGCCAGGAGAGGAAGAGCTGGCAGTGGGAGATCAAATGGGACAGTGTCACTCGGTGGCACTTCAGGTGGGAACAGGGACTGGAGGTCTGGTGCGGGACAGCTGCAGAGGCCACTGGCTGCAGAGAATGGGGCGACATCCCTCTACTGAGTTGAAAGGGGTCAAAGCTCTCTGGGAATTGCTCTCCCCAGCAGGATGGACTCAGCCACCCCATCTGGGGCCTGGAAAAATGCTTTCCCTTCTGGTTGGATTTTTCCAGAGCTGGAATGGAACAGAGAGGAGGGAGGGCCTGGTGAGGTTTCAAGTGCCCACCAGGGTCAGCAAGCTGAGGGAGTGGGGAGTCCTCAGAACCTGCCAGGTCAAGGTGGATTGGGCAGATTTAAATTTCATAAATGCTTCGGTGGCAAGAACCTCCTGTCTTTCTCCTCCTGGAAATCTAGACCCCAAAGATATTCTAAGGGCCCCGAGCCCAAGAGGCCCCCACCAGCCAGGCCTGTAGAGGGAGAGCAGCTCCCAGTGCTCCATCAGCCGCCCACAGCAGGCTGGCAAAGGCTGCAGCATTCCGGAGGGGTTGCCCTTGCAGGGATACTTATGTAAATAATGTTATTTTTAACAGAGGAGATAAAGGCAGAAAACACCACAGGAAATTGGCTGACAGCAAAGAGCGGAAGGAAGAAGAGGTGCCCCTATACTAAGCACCAGACGCTGGAATTGGAGAAGGAATTTCTGTTCAATATGTATTTGACGCGAGAGCGCCGCCTGGAGATTAGCAAGACCATTAACCTTACAGACAGACAAGTCAAAATCTGGTTTCAAAATCGCAGAATGAAACTCAAGAAAATGAACCGAGAGAATCGGATCCGGGAACTGACTTCCAATTTTAATTTCACCTGAGCACTTGGCCTCCCCTTCCTCCTCCCCTCTCCCCCACCCCTCTCTTTCTCTCCCCGCCCCTCCTCCCTTTGTGCCTGGTGGTATATTTTTTTCCCCTCCCTCAGTATAAATGCAACGCGCCTGCAAAAAAAAAAAGGCAAAGACCTCAGACTCTCCTTCCGAGGGACCAATGGTTCGTGCTGTGAAGATGCTGTTCACCTAGAGCATGAGAAACGGGGTGCAGGGGGTTGGGTGTGGTGTGCCTGCATAGCTAAGGGCGGGAGCGTGGCTGGTGTGCGTGTGAACCCTTCACTCACCCACGCACTCACACACAGCATCCTGTTCTCTATGCAAAGTTAAGGTCGAATACACACAATTGAGGGGGCGGGAGGGTAAGGGTAAGAGAACAAAAATGAACCAGAGAAGGTCTGTAATCTCACAGAGCACAGTCAGAATCGCTCCTTTCTTGCTGTATTTCCCCCTTAGAATAGACGTTTTGGGAAGTTCGGCTAGTGTTTGTGTGTTCATCGTAGCGCCCAGCGCCTCCACCAAACCCCTCTCCCTGTCTTTACCTCCCAGTCGCTCTGAGAATCTGCTTGAAGTCTTGTATTTGTACTGCTTTCTGCATTTCTCCCATCCTCCCAGCACCCCACATCCTCCATCCACTGACATCTGAACATTCCCATCCAGAGGAACAAAACATTTTAAAAAATAGAGCATAGTGAGGCAAAGAGAGATTCCCGCCCCCCCCCCTGCCATCACCCAGCCCCTGTCTGGCAGTTGTGTTATTTAAAGATATTCTGTATGTTGTATCTTTTGCATGTAGCTTCCTTAATGGAGAAAAAAAATGCTAATAAATTTCCAGAATCATAATCCTCAAATGGGTGGTTTTTGTATGTAGTGCTTTTTTTTCCCTTAGCGACACCCCCCTCCCTGAAGAGGCTGAGTGTGTGGCTGTGTGTGTTTTGTGTTGGACTCATCTCCTAGAGCCTTTCTAGGACGTCTCCTGGCGGGTGTAATGTAAGTGAGAGACCATAACGTTGATTTAAATATTATCCAGGTGACCACAATAAGTCAAGGTCATAAAACAGTAATGTCAGGACGGTCTTGGTGCGCGCGAGAGGTGGATTTTATGATCTGCAAATATAATGTGGTGCTGCAGTAAAAGATGCATTTAAAGGTGACTGGAGGAGGGAAAGAGGCAGAGAGCAAACTGCAATCTTGAGGAGCAGACGGATCTGATCGCCTGGGGTGCTGGGCCAGGCACACCCCACCGCTGCCTGGGGGGAACCCCAAGAGCTCCCCACCTATCCAAAGAGAGGAATAAACTTAACCGCTGGAGGGGGACACGAGCAGCTCAGCCACCCCCCTCCCCTCGACAGCAGCAGCAGCAGCAGAAGCGCCGGCAGCGGCAGCAGGAGGAGGCGGCGACAAGGTAGGAGAAGCGGTTTCTTGTTCTTCTCTTGGCGGCAGAGCGGGGACTGGCGGCGTCCCCAGGTGCCCGGTGCACGGCGGGCAGCACCGGAAGGAAGGAGTTTGGGGCGCCCGGGCTTTCCGAGAGCCCCGGGGCTTGCTTGTGGACTTGTGGATGATGCTGGCAGCGGAGGGCAGTGGCCGTGAGCTCCCTGTCCGCCCCTCCTAGGCCTGTTGCTGAGGGGTTCAGTGGTTAAACGGGTACATGGGTAGGTTTTGGCTTCCTTCTCTGCCGCTGGCATTTAGGGTTGCCTCGAGGCTGACACATGCGTCTGGATGTCGCTCGGTCTGGGTCTGGCTGTCTGCTGAGGGGAGCAGAGGGAGGGCGGGCTGGAGAGGATTGGAGCTTGAAGCTTAGGTTTTTCTGCTGTCTGCCGGTTTGGATGTGCGCCTTAGCCAAGCTCTCGGTCCCCACACTCCCTCACCATGGGGCTTTGCCAGGCAAGTGGCCTGGTTGGAAGAGGCGCTGGAGCACGGGCTGTGTGGTTCGGCTACCCACAGATGCAGGGAAGCCAGAGCTGAGCTGAGAGGGAGAGAGGATCAGAGGGAATCTAGGAGGAGAGTGCGGAAGAGCCCGGTGGACAGGACAGGAGACCCAGCTCCAGAGGGGAAGGACACTTGGGCTTCCCCAGGGCCAGGGCCAGGGCCAGAGTCAGGGGAATAGGTCTGCTGCAGTGCTGGTGCTGGAGGGGGTGTTGGCGGCTGGAGGTCCCATTTCCTCAGAGTTTCCCTGAATGATTTGCTTGAGCCAGAAGCTGATGAGGCAGCCAGACCCCTACCCATCCAGCCACCCAAAGTCTACTCTCTAGCTGATAGGGAGGCTGTGGGGGCGGAAAGGGGGACGGGGCTGAATTTCTTCCTTCCCCAACCCCCTTCCCTTCTCCTCCCGATAGATGCAAAGCTGAATCTCCCGCCCTGCTCGCTCAGCTGATCTGTGGCTTAGGTAGTTTCATGTTGTTGGGATTGAGTTTTGAACTCGGCAACAAGAAACTGCCTGAGTTACATCAGTCGGTTTTCGTCGAGGGCCCCAACCCACCTATCCGGCTCCATCCCTCCCCTGTGGGCCTGCCCCAAGCCCCCTGGCAGGTAGGGCACATTGGATACAGACTGAGGAGGGCACGCTGTGAGTGGGGCCAGGCCAGGCAAGCCTGAAAATCCCACTTTCCACTGTCTGCTCCTCAGCCTGTCCCAATCCCTGGGGCTCAGGAAGAGGAGTTTCTCCTGCAGCTATTGTTTCTTGGTCTCAGCTGACGGAGACAGACAAAGACGGTCTAGTGGTCTAGTCAATTCCAAGGAAATTGAGGAATTTGAGTGAGAGGTGGTCTGGCAGGCCAGCCAGGGTAGGGCAGGGTCATTAGGAGAGAGGAGAGCACAGAAAGAGAAGGGAGTCTCTGGAAGGGTTCCTTTCTCTCACCTGCCACCTCCAAGGAAAAACTATGCCTCCAGAAGGCTGGGGCTGAAGCTTCCCCTTAGAAAAGTGGGGTGCCTGGGGAGGTCCCAACAATTGGGGATCTCTGAGCACAAACTCAGTCACCTTCCCTCCCCCTCTATGGCTCCATGCCCAAGAGAAGGCATATTTAGGGTGTTAGTAGGTTAGAGGAAAGCATCAAGTCCAAGTAGAAATGCCCACCCCCCTTCACACACACACACACACACACACACATTCCAGGAAACATTAGGGCAAGAAGCTAGCTGGCCCTGGTCTCGGGCTGGCTGTCTGTGGTCCCGTAGGCCTTGGTCTGTGTGTCTGTGGCTGTCAGGCAGCTGCTTGTCTTTGCATTGTGTGGAAATGTCTGGGTGAAGGGAGGCTGCCAGTGCCCACCTTTACCATATTGTTGGGAAGGCTGTTGGCTGATGCCAGGGAAGGAAGGGAGGGAATGGGATAAGAGGAAATCTGAGCAATGCGAAACTTTGCAAAGCTTCTTCCCCTCCTTTCCTATCCACCCCTTGCCCTTGGATCCTCAGTTCTGGACCCTGTTGCTAGAGAGAAGCTCTCCAAAGAGGTTTCTCTGCCTGTGAAGAAAAATGGGCGGGGTGGGGTGGGGGAAATCCAGGAGAATGGGGAGATACACCCCAGTTCTCAGACTGGGCAAGAGAAAGCCAAAAAGAGGACAGGTTTCCTTCCTTTGGAATTATTGTGATTATTAAAACATGATAAACTTTCAGGCAGAGAAATGAAGTCATGTCCCCGTTACAAAACATATACATGGAGTTCCATATTCTTGCAAGTGTCTGCTAGGAGATATCTGTAGCCTTGGATGAGTGTGGGTCTCTGTTTCTATACATATATATATATATATATATATATATATATATATATATATCTGCATGCTTATTTATTTTTCTCTCTGTTATACAAAGAGATTTGTTTTCACCCTGAGGAGGATAGAGAGGGAACCGGGCACAGAGTCTCTCTTCGCTCCAGCTGAATTTGTCAGGTTGACTTTCCATCTGTCCCTTAGCCATTTGTAGGGAGAAAAAAATATCTTCCCTTAGAGGAAGGTGCTCAAACCTCTCTATGGCTCTCAGGGAATAGGGGGGTTTTCAGAGAGGAAGACCAGCTGGTTCGAGGCAGGCTGGGGGACCCCCTGTTTGGGAGCCCCCCAGCAGTCTTTGAATTTTCAGGTTGCCAGAAGCCCCTGGCCAGTTGGAATGAAACCGGTTCCCAGCAAAGGCGGGTGCTCGGGGTGCCTGCCTTGGGGACTGGGTCCCCGATGGGCCGAAATTCACCAATGAAGGGCTTCTGGGCTTTGGGTCCCTCTGCCTCCATCTCTGTTTCAGAGCCCCAGAGCTTATGGGGGCTGGTCACAGAGCCAAGAGTTTCTCTTGCCCAGTCTGAGTGCCCACCCCAAAAGAATCCTGGTTGAATGGGGTGAGTTCTCCTAGGGCCAAGGTGAGGGCCAGTCTGATGGCCAGCGACTGCCCCGAGGGCCCTGGGGCCATGGATCATGGCTAAGGTGGTGGTGATTACTTATTCGCTTCGCTGGAAGGGAGTCTTCAGAAGAAACAGCGTGAAGAGGAGGGGAAAAATTATCTCTCTCGTCTGCGGATATTAAGATGGATTTTTATTTCTTAAAGGGCCCTCCCCGCCGAGAGCGCACGAGCGTAAACTTAATATATGCTCCGCAGCCCAACTCCAGAAATCGCAATAAAAGTTAAAACCTCCCCTACTGGTTTTTTTTAATTATGATATGGGAAAGAGGAACAGGATTTATAGAGCTGAACTCTCGGCATGTGAGTGTTTAAGACTTGTGGGAGAAGGAGGAGAAGGCGAGAGCTCGCCCAGGAGAGCCTTGGGCTCCGAGCTATCTCGCGGCTGCTTCTGGGGCTCCGGCTCAGCCCCGCGGACCCTCCATCCTCCGAGGCTTCCCCCGGACCCTGGCTCCCCAGCCCCCTCCGCTGGGGCCCGCGGCCCGGCTCGACGCGAAGGAGCTGCAGCTCTTTTCGGAAGGAAACAGGTGAAGGGCGGCGGCGGCGGGGGCTTGCACCGGGCTTTGTGTGGGTCCGGTGCCCGGGAGGAGGTTTGTCGCCCGGGGCGAGCTCAGAGCCCCAGGGTGCCCGGCGGGCGCCCAGCCTGGGCGGGGTGTCTGAGAGCACCGGCTAGGTGGATCGCGTGTGCACTTTGGCTGCGGGCGGAGCAGAGCTGGCTCCCCGGGCGGGCGGAGGCCCGCGGCGAGCCGGGCACCGGATATTGAGTCTGTGGGAAGGACCTTGAGGTCCGAGTGGTGCTCGGGTGGCCGTCGCGGCGGTCCACGGCGCGCAGCTCGCGGTGCGTGGGGCGCGGCGGTCCTCGTGGGCGCGGCGGCAGGCCCCGCGCACCTCCGCGGGGGCAGGGCCGTGGCCAGGACCTGGGCACCCAGGCCAGCCCAGGCTCAGAGCGTGAAAAATAAATGCGGTTACAGGGTCTTTCTTCCTTTCTTTTGCACAAGAATGTCTTTTCCTTTTTCCTCTCTCTTTCGGAGATACCTGGATCCGGTCCAGAACAGGTTGCCCGCGGGAGGGCCCGCGAGCGGCGGCGCGCGAGGGAGGGAGAGAGGGAGGGAGGGCGAGACGGAGGGAGGGAGGGAAGGAGGGCGGGCGGCGGCGGCGGCGGTGGCCGGGGCTTCCCTCCCCGGGCGGGCGGGGAGGCGGCTGCCCTGCCTCTGTGGCCGTGGGGAGCCGCGGAGCAGGTAACGAAGGCGCTTCCCGAGGCGGGATTGGACCCAGCCTTTCAGGTCCCTGTCCAGCGCCCTGGAGGGGAGAGAAGGTAGGGAGATCGGCGCCCCCGGCCTGGCAGAGAGGCCTCAGGGAATGTGGAACCTGTGTTTGATTTCGGGCTCACACTCATGCTGTGAGCCAGCCTGCCTCTGGAGATGCGGTTTGCCTGTCGTGTCTGTCTGTCTGTCTGTCGGAGGCGTCCCAAAGCCCGGGCTCTCCTTCCGAAGGCTGGCCAGTTTGGGGAGATTGGTCGGAATGTGCACTTTCATTCATTACCTCCTCTGTGACTCGGTGCGGCTGGCGGCTGAGCCCCCAAGTTGCAGGGGAGCTGGGCTCCCGCCTCCTGGAAGCCTGAGCCTCCGGTCCCCCCGCCTGGGGCTGAGTTCCGGCTCCAGGTTCGCGGGTCGCCCTGAGGGTGGAGGCCAGACAGCTCCCAGCCGCGCAGGGAGGGCGGGGGAGAGGCTCGCGGCTCTGGCCCCTTAATTGTACCCGTATTGTCTCTCCTCTCGCCACCTCCGCTTCCGCAGTCTGGGCTCCAAAGTCACTGCAAATTTCCTTGCGACACACACATCACAGAAAGATCAGGTAACAAGTCGCCAGGGCCACGGGGGCTCCGGGCAGAGAGCACCCCTGGCCCCGGGGCCCTCCCCCTGCAGCCACTCCCCAGGCCGGGGAGCCGGCCAGCTGGGGGAGCCGGAAATAGCCCCGTTTGCCGCCGGGCGGGCGGCGGGGTGGGGGCCGGCGGGCGTGCAGGCCGTGGCGTTGAGAGGGCCAGGTTCACAGGCCCCGGGGGTTCGCTCCTGCGGGGCGGCGGGGCCGGGCCCCTGGCGCGCGGGGAGCCCGGATACCCACCTGGGGTGGGGGCAGGACGCGGGGCTCCTCGCCGCGGGCCGGGAGGAGTCCGCCTCTGCTTCCTTCCAGCGCAGGCCTTGGCGAGGAGGAGTTGCGTGTGGGTGTGTTTTTCCCCAACAAAGAAGGATCGGGCAAGAGAAGGGGGGAAAGTCGAGGGGACCCGGGGAGGGGGCGGGGAGGGAGAGAGGGCAGCGAAGAGGTGGACTGAGCCCATTTCGGGGGGGAGACGGAAAATGAAAGCAAATGGAGCACAGCCTGCTCCGCGCGGGCGGGTGCAGACGAGCCCTGGAGCGGCCTCCCCGCCTGCGGCGGCCGGGATAGCCCGCTGGGGGCACCGGGAAAGCCTGTTTTAAATTTAATCCGAACTTGACGGTGTGGATTGAACCGGAGGGAATTTAAATCACTGAAAAGGAGGCGCAGGGCGCGGGGAGAGGAAGCCTCTAACCTGTCTGCCTCTCTGTCAGTCCCTGCCCACGGTGGTGCTAGTTGCTTGGCTGCAGGCGTAGCTGCCCAGGTTCGAGGTGATCGGGGAAGGCCGCCCCTCCCCCACAGGGGGCTTTCCCGTGCCCAGTGAAGCCTTTTGGGGGTGCAAGGGAGTTCTGAGAACCAGAGCGAGCGCAGGGCTGCTAGCTGAAGCTGGGGTCACCCTCTCCACAACAGGGATTCCCAGTGGCCTCCAGGCTCCTGAGTTTCTCCCCCATTGGCGCTGAGGAAAATTGGAGGGAGAGGAGGGGGTGAAGGGGAGTCCTGGAATCTGCCAGGGGGTTCAGGAGGAGTAGCTGGACCTGGGAAGACAAGCCCCTCCGTCGTGGTGTCCCCCACATCCTTGTGCTCCCTTCCCTAGAGGCCTGGATTTGGGGGAGCCTGAAAAATCTGCTTCAGAGCCCTGACCTGCCATTCTACCTCCAGATACAGAGAATGGGGCACAAGCCATCTGCAGTTGTGGAAGCACAGGGGCCTGGGTCTGGCGAACTCAGGGGGCTCCCCGCCTCTTCCAGCCCCCCACCCCACCCCAAGGCCGCCTCTCTAAGCAAGGCCTAGGCAAAACGGGGTGTTGGTGGGGAGGGGGCTGTGGGCGAGGCCTACTTCCTGACCCGCAGCTCTGTCTGTGCCTGAGCAGGGGGGGGGGGGGTCTGAGTTCACGTTCTGTAACTAAGGTGACAGTCTCCCCTCGGCTTCATGGGGAAATTGACAGCGGCAGGGAGTGGGGGCTGGAGGACTTGAGCTGTGATTTCAGCTGCCCCACGCTGCTGCCTCTGCCGGCTGGGCAGGGCTGAAAAGCAGGCCAGGAGAGAAAGGGGCATCTGCCTGCAGCCCCTCTGCCTGAGAGCTCTCCCGAAAAGCAGAAGCCCATGAAGAGGGTCCTAGGGGTGTCTTTCTTCTGGGAAAGCTGAAAGGGGGGCCGTGGGGCCCTGTGGCCTGGCAGAGACGCGACAGAGGAGCAGAGCGTGAAACCTCCTTCATCATGTCTTCTTTGCGTCTTCTTCTTTGCTCCTTGGCTAGAGCATGGCTCAGCCCCAGCCGCCTGGAAGGCTGACGGGCCTGGAATGGGGTTCTCTATCCCAGGAGCCTGGTGTGCCCACAGGAGCCGGGCGCTGGGAAGGGCCGGAGAGAAGGCCTCTTCCTCCTTTGTGTCAGGACAGAAGTGGCCGCTGTGCCTGGAGCCTGTCGCCGGCAAAGGCCCGGCAGGCAAGCAAGCAAGCGACTGCACAATGCCATGGCTGCTCCGCCAGCTCTCTATCCCATCCTGCCTATCACCGCCCTTCCTCTGTCTTGCTCTCTGCACGCCTTCCTTCCCCTGCTCTCCCATCTCTTTTCATCTCGCCTTCCCTTGTTTCTTGAATTCTCCCCTTGCTCCTTCTTTTTTAGCCTAATCCTCTGTTTCCTTCTTTCCTTCCCTCCTTCCCTCCTTCCTTTCTATGGCCTGACGCCCGTGTGTTTCAGTTGTTCGGTCTCAGGCTAGCTCGGGCGGGCGCAGTCTCTCAGGGCTCTGTCCCTAATGTCCTCTTGGTCACAGGCTGGCCCCGGGCCGGCCAAAGGCTACATGTCTGCCAGCAGCCGCCCAAGAGCTGGTCAGGGTCCCAGCCGCCAGGGCTGGGGGAGGTGCTGGCGGCGCTGGGGGTTTGGAGAAAGCCTCTGCAGGGGCACTGGAACCTCTTGTCTTTTCCTTGAACTAGTGAGGGAGGGTTTTTGATTGACAGCTAAGCCAACTCCATCAAGGCCAAAGAGATACTCTGTTTCTTGCTGTTATTTGGATTTTTCCAAATCAGTTGAGTCTGGGGGAGGGGGAGATAATCCAATCAGAGCCCAGGGTGAGGAGGTTGAGGCCCCGAGTCCCTTCTCCTCAGCCCTTAGGCACGTCTCACATCCTGCCCTCCCCCTCCCCCCCATTTCGGAGAAATCCCAGCCCCGCTTGACCGAAAGGGAAACACTGCAAAGGGGGAGGAACAGGGACTGGGGACGGGGGCCTAGAAAGCTGGGTCAGTGTTTGGACTTCACATCTATTCTTCCCCCCTCAACTTTCCTCCTGCCCCCAACATGCATCCTACACTCCCTGGGACACCCCTCGCTAGTTCTTCTCCGCCCCAGAGGAGACAGGTTGACCTGGGTGCAGGAGGACACCAGCCTGGGCCCCCAACCCTGGCGTGTGGTCCCCTCCGGGGGACAGGAGTGGAAACGAAGGGCAGGCATCTCTGCTCTGGGAAGCTTCTTCCTTCCCTGCTGTTTCAGAGCCTCCTCCCAGCCTCAGCTCCTGCCTCTCTCACCCAGCACAAACTGGGGCTCTTTCCTTCTGACCCTGAGGCTGCACCCCTCCTTCACACTCGCTCTGCCATGCCTAGGGTGCATCTGCCTCTGGGGACATCACCTGCTCAGCTCCCCCACCAGCCAGCCTGCCTGCCCCCTCTTTTGCACTCCTGCTGAGGATTTCCTGCTTGTGCAAAGCCACCTTTGCTAAACCACTGAGGGATAGTCCCGTGGAAAGCAGAGGACCGGGTTCCAAATCCCAACCCCACACAGGAGGGTAACAGCCAACTTATTGGGGGAAGGAAATCCTAGTGTCTGTCCCTCTCTGCAGTCACACTGCTTCTCCAGAATTCAGTGTTCTGCCCCAAAGACACTGCTTTCCCCCAGCCCTCCGTTGCTTTTTTCCCGTTCCAAAAACAGCCTACAATTTTATTTAATGAAAGACACATTTATGAACAATCAAATGATCCTCATAAAAATTTTATTGAAGGACGTAAAAACAAGCTACTTGCCCACAACTGAGGTCGCTCCCTTGCCTTGCCCGCTCTCACCCTGGCTCTGTGCAGGCAGAACCCGGGGGGTGACTTCTTTTGGGGGGGTCAGGGTGCCCCAGAGATGGAATGGGGGCAAAGGTGGGTGAGCAGGAACATGGGATGGGGCTGCCCCATTCAAGTTGTGTAGATCTCTCCTCCACTTCTTCAAGCTGGCAAAAAAAAAAAAAAAAAAAAAAAAAAAAAAGGTAGATACAGACAATAAATTTAAAATAGAGGTACTTGCCTATCTGTACCGAAGCAAAGAGAGCATTTCTGATGCTAAAGGTGTCTGAGGTCCAGGGGTCCTACCCCTCCCACCCACGGACCCCCTTCCCTAGCCTTCCCCTGCGCCAGGTTTGGGGGGCTGAGTTGGCCAGGGCAGAGGCACTCTCCCCCTTTCTCTCCTGCCTTCCCTCCCTCCACCCCAGCTTCTCCAGTCCCCTCCCACCCTCCCTCTCCGGCTGCTGCTGCTCCTGAAAGAAATACATACATGCACACTATTTAAAAACGCATTTTTAAAAAGCCACGTTCCGAACTGACAATCGCTGATCTCGGCTCGCGCAGGGACTGCGGGCGCGTCGGGGCCGACAGAGACGGATTACGTCAAGAAATAGTTCCTCCACCTACCTCGGCGGCCGCGGTGGCCGGGCGGCGGCGCCCAGCTCCGCCCCGGGGGTGCGGGAGCCCGGTTCCGGGGCCGGCGTTTTCGCCCCATTCAGAAATCCTCCTGGGGACGGGGGCGGGGGCCATCTGCTCCTGGGTGGGCATGGGCCAGGGGCTCATGGTGAGAGACGAGTTGTCCTGAGGGGGTGGCGGGCGCCTGGGGTCCAGAGTTCCGGACCCCCAGGAAAACGCAGGTCGCGGGGATCCTAGCAGAGAAGGGGGTGGGAGAAGGTACAAAAAAAAAAAAAAAAAAAAAAAAAAAAAAAAGGCAAGGGAGGAAAAAAAAAAAAAAAAGCCCCTGCGCATTGATCCGCGCCGTATTTTTGGGTAAATACGATCACGTGGGGGCCGGGGAGCCAATGGGCTGCGGGGAAAAGGCTGGAAAAATAATTACCTGCCTTGATTGTTCTGTGAGCAGATAAAAAGTACATATACAGTTCATACAATAATCTTATGTATGTAAAACCCCGTTACGATGTCGGCGACGGGGCCCATCAGTAACTATTACGTGGACTCGCTCATCTCCCACGACAATGAAGACCTCCTGGCGTCCAGGTTCCCGGCCACCGGCGCCCACCCCGCGGCCGCCAGACCCAGCGGCTTGGTGCCGGACTGCGGCGACTTCCCGTCCTGCAGCTTCGCGCCCAAGCCCGCCGTGTTCGGCACGTCGTGGGCGCCCGTGCCCTCGCAGTCGTCCGTGGTGTACCACCCGTACGGCCCCCAGCCCCACCTCGGCGCCGACGCGCGCTACATGCGGACTTGGCTCGAGCCGCTGTCCGGCGCCGTCTCCTTCCCCAGCTTCCCGGCCGGCGGCCGCCCCTACGCCCTCAAGCCGGACGCCTACCCCGGCCGCCGCGCCGACTGCGGCCCGGGCGACGGCCGCAGCTACCCGGACTACATGTACGGCTCGCCCGGCGAGCTGCGCGACCGCGCCCCGCAGACCCTGCCCTCGCCCGAGGCGGACGCGCTCGCCGGCGGCAAGCACAAAGAGGAGAAGGCCGACCTGGACCCCAGTAAGTGGGGAGCAATCTTCCTTTACGACCGGCGCGGGAGGGGAGCGGGGGGACCGGATTACAGCCCCTCGCGGCGGCGGCGCGGGGAGCGCGGGAGAGGGGCGAGGGCGAGGGGGGCGAGGACTCAATAAAAGCGAATTACCTTGGGGAGCTTTCAGGGGGCAGGAGGTCTGAAAGGGGCCCCCCTCCCCGAGGAGCCAGGTTGGGAGTAGGGCTGAGGGGGTCCCTCTCCCCAGGAGCAGGTTTGGATGAGAGGGACCCCCGCCCCCCAGCACCCCCAGCCTCAGGCTCTTTGGCTCAGTCGTTACTTTCGAAGAAATGCAGACAGGGCCAGGGGATGGGGTGGGGGGCGAGGTGCATTTTATGGTTTGAGGTGGGACGGGACAGAGATGAGGAGGACACCAGGGGCAGGGAGAAAATTCACCCCTGCCTCCCAACCAGCATGATGGGGGGGGGTCCTCACCCCACTAGAGATTCATAAAACTCAAGGTCTGTGGACTTCTCTCCCAGGACCACTGAGGGAAGGGTCTGGGGGAACTTGGAGGGACAGGACTTCCGGAGTTGGGGGAGAGAAGTGGTGTCCCAGCCTCAAACTTGAAAGCCCTCCTGAGGGTCTTCTGCAGGAGAGAAGGTAGAAAATAGGGGTGTCAGGGATGCGGAGTGGGGAGAGACATCTCCCCAGATTAGAGAATTACACACACACACACACACACACACACACATACACATGCACACACTCCAGTCAGGGAGACAGGAGCCTTCTGAGTGTTGCAGAGAAGGACAGGGGTAGGTGGGGAGGGGCAGGTGGGAGCTGTAGGGCCAGAGAAAGGGGACAGAAGAGAAGCAGCAGGGGAGGGGTGCAGCCCCCTGGGTGTGAGGAAGTGTCTGGGGGAGTCCCAGGGGGGGCTCCAGGAAATCCTTTCCTCCAGCCCGGTGAGGGGCCAGGGCCTAATTATACCCCTCTGAGCCTTCCCTCCTTGCCCTCAGCGACTCTCATAAACCTGAAATTGGAGGCTTGGCTCCTGCAGAGCCTGTCCTGGGGCTGGCAGGAGGGGTGGGGGCCCTGGAAGTCAAACAGGGACGCTCACATGCAGGGGGGCCTGTTTCCAAGGCCAGCAGCTCTCTGGGGGAGAGGGGACAGGCTTTTCCTAGTCCAGCATCACCCTGAGAATTCGCCTCAGCAGGGTTGAACTCGGGGAGAGAGAGCGGAGATGAGCAACAAACCGTGCTGGAGAGGGCAGTGAGGGGCTGGAGGGCTCTCAGGGTCAGGAAGCAGAACTGCAGAAATTTCCAGGACTTGGTCGTGGGCCGGGTGGATGGGAGGGGGCAAAGGAGGAGGGAAGTGGGGAGGAGAGAGACCTCACTATAAAAATAAAAAAACAAGGGAGAGAAGCATTTATGGGCCTATGAAACGGTTGGGAATTTGGACTTTTTATGAGGATATTCTCGAGTTACTACTCTTGAAGCTGAGGACCAGACTGTTGGGGCTTTGATAGCTTTGATTTCCTATAGTTTTAGGAAGCTGAAGGAAGGGGGAGCTGGGGAGGAGGGCAGAATGCAAAAGGAGTGAGGGGAAATTCCTACAGCAAAAAAAAAAGTGTCCAAATTCAGGTTCAATTATTGGGTTTTGATAGCCTGGCTAGGGCTGGGGGTGGAGTGGCAGGGATCCTGGGCTGGAAAAGGGTCTCCACTGACCCCTGCCTGTGTTTGGCCCTCCAGGCAACCCCGTGGCCAACTGGATCCACGCCCGCTCCACGAGGAAGAAGCGCTGCCCCTACACCAAGTACCAGACGCTGGAACTGGAGAAGGAGTTTCTCTTCAATATGTATTTAACCAGGGACCGTCGGTATGAGGTGGCCCGGGTTCTCAACCTCACCGAGCGGCAGGTCAAAATCTGGTTTCAAAACCGGAGGATGAAGATGAAAAAGATGAATAAAGAGAAAACCGACAAGGAGCAATCCTAAACCCTGCCCGGCCTGCCTCGGCACAGCCAAGGGGGGAAAAAAAACAACAGCAACAACAAAAAAAAAATCCACAAAAAAACCCAGCCCAGGCGGGAGAGAGCAAGAAAAAGGAAAGGAAAGAGCAAGATAGAGAAAAGCCAATCAGCTTAAAAAGAAAAAAGAAAAAAAAAAGGGGGAAAGGAAAAGGAAAACTCTTGCAATTTGGGAGGGTTCAGTGTTGAGAAATTGGTGTTTTAGAGTTAGTTCTACCCAGCGAGGATGAGGAGGCGGGGAGAGAAGCCGCCTCCTCTTCTCCTGCGCAACTGAAATAAATGACACACACAATGTGATTTTTTTTCTCCTTTCTTCAGAGAAGCCAGTACTTGAATCGCTATATTTCTATTTTTTTTTCTTCCTGTATCATATTTGGCCCGGGCCTATTCTCCCCAGGCCTGGGGTGCTCTGCGTGCAGATTTTGTACAAAAAGAAAAAGATACACATACATACACAATAACGAGAGTCCCAGCCCAGGAACCGCGGGGCGAGGGCCGGGGATGGTGCCGCAGGCTGGGTCCAGCGCGCAGGCCGGTGCCTCAGGCGGGCATGTACATAGCAGTGTTTCCTATCATCCCCAGCGTCCGTCCTGTTACGTGCTTCTGTTTGTTATGGTAGAACAGCTCTGTGTTAATATATCGAAGTCACTTAAAAAACCAGAAAACCCAATTGCATCCAGTTCTCATTATTTCTCCTCCCGGTGGCTCCCAGGCCGCAAGTGCTCAGACCCTCTGGGGGAGGCTGGAGCCAGGCAGGGGCTCTCTTGACCTCGGGAGGGCAAGTGCCTGCTGCTTCTCTCCAGGCGGGGTGGGGTGGGTGAGGGCTCCAGGGTGGGGTGGAAGCCGCTGGGTCCTGGGCACAGTCTGTGCCTGCTCTGACCGCTGCCTAGGAGTTCCCTGGTAGCTCAGTGGAGTCCAGGGGGGAGGGTGGGGGCATGGCATGAATGGCTTTCCCTGGCTGTAATTAATTGTAATAATTTATGAGTACAGGAGATCGGAGGGAAGAGATAGGTGAAGATGAAAGTTGGGTGCTGGGTGAGGGCCCGGGCTGGATTCCTGCCTGGCTGCATTCGGTGCTTCGAGGGGAGGCTGGGGGGGCTGAGGAGGGAGGGTGTGCGGTTTGGAGGAGGAAGGCCAGCAGGCCTCAGGGAGGACAGGCACTGAGGACTTCGTGGAGAATAAAAGGAGGAAAATGGGGGAGAGAGAGGAGAGAGAAGGAGAGAGGGAGGGAGATTAAGGAAGGAGATAGATGGCAAAGCCAATACAATCAGAATTAGTTTAGTTTCTACTTCTCAATGCATTCTCGGTCTCTCGGATGGTTCGTTTGAATGTTGGTCTTGGGGTGCAGGGGGTATGCTGTGCAGCTGCAGCATTTCTGGGGGGCAGTGTGGCCAGGGCCCGGGGAAGCTACTCAGGGATTAGTCAGGCGGGGGTGTTCTCTGGCGGTGGAAGGACCCCAGGCAGAAGGATGCAGAGATGTGTGTCTGACAGGCTGGTGGGGCTGTCAGCTGCACTGTACCCCAGAGTGCCCTCCCCAGAACTGGCAGTTTCATCTGCTAATCAGAAGCAGACCCAAGCTGCAGGGTATGCCTCAGCCTGGGCGCCCCCTTTCTCGGAAATCCCCCAATCTGGAAACTATTAAACTCAGACTGCCTGAAATATAGCCCTTTAATATCTCAGGCTGCCCATTCTGGAGAGGGCGCAGGATGTTGCTCTGAATTCTTGGGGTGTCTCATAAAAGAAAATAATTGGGGACCCCAGGCCTTGTGCGGCTAGCTCCCTGGGCCATGGCATTGTCTTACAGGATTGGTGAGGGGCCAGCCCCTCCCCATCATTTGAATGTCCTACCCCCTCCTTCCATTAGACTATCCAATGTTGGGGGCTGGAGGAAGGTGGGAAGGGGTGAACGTTTTGTTTTGATGATATTTTGTGTCGGGGCAGTCAAAAGTCGCAGACAGTCGATGGTGTGGTTTTCCCAGTAGCAGAAGCACCCTCTCCTCTTTCCCCGCTTAGAAGACATGCTTCCCAATTCCAGAACCGATTGTCTCCTTGGTCCTTCTGAAAGGTGCTTTGCCTGTAGACTGCTCGCTTTTCTTGCTTCCTCCCTCCTCCATTTGGCCATTTTGCAGCTCCGTGACCCTGGCCTCAGGTCTGCACCCACTGGGGAACCAGGCACCCGTCTGCCCCAGTCCTTAGCGGGGATTCAGACTTCTCTCCCAGCCCCGGGCTTGGCGGCCTATCCGGGCCTCCACCCGCCCCTGTTCCAAGGCCCTTTCGCCTCCCCGCGTCCGCCAGCGGGGCCTGCTTCCTGCAGCCACCCGAGCGGCCTGAATGCGGGCAGTAAGCAGGGCAAAGGGCTCCAGGGCCCGGAGGAGAGAGAGCGCGGGATCCAGAGCAGGCCCACCCGCCCCGGCCCGCTGCTCAGTACCAGCTCAGCCGCCTGCAGGTCAGGATTGGATTCCATTTTTATTTATTATAATCTGTGAGTTAAAAAAATCATCACAACACAACACACATCTGGGGGAGAAGAAGCGAAAGCCTGGGGAAAGGGGTTAGCAAACGCCCTCCTGCCCTAATCCTCCCTCCCACCTCTCCTCTGCGCCTTTGTCAGAATCACAAAACCCTAAAGGTTGTTCCACTCGGAAAGGCAGGGGATAGGTACATTTCCGCAGCACCGAAATGCCACTTTTATGGCGCTGTTTGTCTCCCTGCGCTGGATTCTGAATGGGGCCGAACAAAACAGCAGCGCGGAGCTGGCTAGACGTCTGGGCTTAATTGCTTTATGGTTTAAATAAGGTGGACACTCTTTCCTTTGAAATCAGATTATAGGAATGTTTTGTCTATGGCCCACGGAGAACAGGACCTCACTGGCTGGGAGGGAGAGGTGGGGAGAGCGCGCGTGAGAGAGGGATGGGCCACAAACCGGGGGGCAAACCGCCGGGAGAAGGCAGAGTCCCACCCCAAAGTCCAGCGGGCAGCGGCGGCATAGGCGGTGCGGGACCGGCGGTAGGGTAAGAAGAGCCAGGAGTTAGGGTGCAGCCTGGGGCAGGTGGTTGCGGGGGGCTTCGGAGCGTGCGTTGGCGTGCGCGGAGGTGTTCCCGGCCCAGAAATGCGCCTGAAGAGGGGATGAGGGAAGACCGCGGCGGCTCCTTTGCATGGTGTCTCTTAATGCGGGAAGAAAAGGTTTCAAAATGAGAGAATAGCGTGAGACCTTCGACAAGATTTATCTCGAGAACCTATAAAACAAACGAAAAGCGGTCGAGGGGGGGGGACTCCCTTGCAGGGACCCCCTCCCCCCATCTCCTCCCCCATTTGGAAACTCCTTCCTGCCCCCTTTTCACCTTAGGGCCAAGCCTGAGACCCGCTTGCTCTCTCCCTTGGCCTTTCCCCCAGCAGGGCTGCATTGGAGAAAACGAACGCGAGGTGGCGCTGTTGTTCAATGTTAGAGGCGGCGGCGGCGCCCCGGCCGGCCAGGCCGCGCTGACATTTGAGGCCCGGCTCCTTGGAGCAGCGGCGAGAAGGCCCCGCGCCCCCTGCCCGGCCCGGCCCGGCCCTCCTAGCTGAGCAAATCAATCCTCTCACCTGCGAGGTGTAAATAAATCGTGAGCGGTGGCGGGAGATGGGCCCTGGCTCTGACAGCAGGTTCGCGAGGGAGGCGAGGGAGGGCGGGTGTCGAAAATAATCGCTTTGCGGAGGAGATAAGAACGGAGCAGGCAGCGCGCGTAATTAACACAAAAAGGCAGAATGACCCAGACAAACGAACATAAATCCGTGATACCTAGAAAGGCGGTGGTGCAGGCCTCGAGGCGAGGTACAGAGACTTCCCAGCGAGGATGGCTGCTTGTGGTTCTTTATTTCCTGGCTCCCGAAGGGAAAGCAACCAGTTATGTGTAAAAGAAAAACAAAAACAAAACAAAACAATCAAATGAAAGAAAGGAAGAAAAGGCGAGGGACCCTTCCCCCCCAAAAAAGGGGGGGGGGACCAAGTCCGGCCAGGGGTTCGGGACTGGTGGGATCTTGGAGCAGGCGGCTGTGGCGGCACACTCAGGACAGTCGCATTCCAAGACACAAAGACCCGGAAGAAGAGCAGTGTGGCAGGGATTTCGCCGGACCATAAACTGTAGAGATATCCCCTCAGCCCTCTAAAAGATAAGGTGCAGGCTCCAGAGCAGACCGGCCTGCCAGCCTCCTCTTCCCAGGCCAGGAGGAGAAAGTATTTATGACAGTCCCTGGTCATCCAGATGCTGGGAGCCCAGAATCCACCCAATCTGCTCAGCGCTGCAGAGCAGGCTCAGCGAAGGCAGGGCTGGAACCGAGGCTGGAGCTTGCTCACCCCTGTCTGTCCTCCACTCTCCTGGGCCCCGGGGAGACCACAGCCTTCCTCTGACCCCCCCCCCTCCCGCTGCCCCAGGGTCCTTGCTCTGGGCAGCCCGGACTCAGATGGGGGTGGGTTTCTCTGAATTCAGAGAATAGAGGAAGCATTGCTTGCTTGGGCACCCGTGAATCTCCTTGGAGAATTTGGCTGAGGGTGGCCTTTTCCCCCAGCAATTATTAAGATAATAGAGGGATGGGGTGGGGAGGCTCATTCTCTCAGCACCACCCGCCCCTGCACTGCCATTCCTCTCTCCATGCCCAGAGCTGGCTTCCAGATGGGGAAGAAAAAGATCTGGTTTCCTACTGCCTCCTTCCTCCTTCAGGATGTGGAGGGCTCAGGATGTGGACGGAAAATAGGTGGCAAATTTGTCCGTGACGCAAAGAGCTAAGGCTGCGTATGTATTTGCCAGGTATTGTTTTCCTAAGTGCCTGGATGTGCATGTGTGTGCACAGTATCTGTGGAGTGACAGGGGTGCTACAAGGCATGGTGGTTTAGTGTTTTTCCGGGTGGGAGGTAGCAGGTCCAGTGTCTGTATATCCCCAGCATACTCAGTGCTGCCCTGTGTGTCACCACCTCACACCCTGTACAGGGAGAGGACCAGAAAAATCATTCTTCCTCTTGCTCGTTTCTATGCACACAGCACACATCTCTGCAGCCCTCTCGCTCTCTCCTTTTTCTCTCTGTGCTCAGCCCACATCACCGCGGAAAAAAATGGCCAGAGAAAGGTGCTGATGAACTAAGGTTATTCATTAGGATTGACTTGAATGGACCCTGTCTTGGGGATGGGGGAAACCGCCCAGAGAAAGTGTGGGTAAATATTTAAAGAGTGTCTGTTGACAGTTCTCATCCACATCCTGGCCTGGGCAGCCTGCCTGGGGAAGTGGGGGGTGAGTTGGAGCCAGAGGGTGCCCAGGGCAGGCTGGCATTTCTGGTGGTGGGGCAGGGTACGTGGGGACAAGAGAGAGGCCTGCTCCAATCCCTGCCAGCCTTGGGACAAGCAGCCTCCCAAGAAGAGACGCCCTGAATCACCCCAGCCAGCGGCCAGAGGTCCACCAGCTGCCCCCTCCTCTGTCCCCACTGTCTCCTCTGCTCTCAGAACCGCCAGCCAAGCTCCTGGCCATTGCCTGGCTTCGTGCCTCAGGCAGGAGCTGGTGTCTGAAGGGGCAGTGCAGCCCCACTGGGTCTATGCAGTGACCCCACCTCTTCTCTACCCACAGCAGGCAGCAAGAGAGCCTTAAGGACCGAGGGAACAAGGGGCAGCCTCCCACCCGGGGGAGGGGCGAGAGGCATGGAGATCTCTGATGCCTGAAGAATTTGGGGGATAGGATGTGCTTGTTCCTTCTGCAAAGTCCCCAGACTTCAGGATCCCTTAGGATTCCGTCTTTTGGCTCAGGGAGCCTGCTCTCCCTCGCTGGCATTCATGCCCCTGGGGGTCATATACCTGTTGAGGTAACCTGAGTTGACCTGCTGGCTCAGGTATCTCTCCAAGAGGAAGGAAGAGAGAAGAAGGGGGGAGAGGCACCTTCAGATCTGAATGCGCACCTTGGAAAAACTGGCCCCAGCCATTAGCTTGGGCTGGCTCACCCCCCCACCCACACACACACACACCACACCCCCATCCCTCCCCCTTCCTCTCCTCCCAGCACCAGGTCCCCCCCCCCAGCTCTGAACCCCTCAACCCCCCCACCATCCCTTCCTCTCTCTCTCTCTCTCTCTCTCTCTCTCTCTCTCTCTCTCTCTCTCTCTCTCTCTCTCTCTCTCTCTCTCGCCTGTCTTCATGTCGTGGATTGATGAACGCGAATCGCGTGTAAGCGCCGCCACCGCCGGGAGTCTGAGGAATTCGCCTGGGCTGTTAAAGGAAAGAGCTAAGTGAGGGAGCGCGAGCTCTACCTACCGACAGTGAAGAGAGCCGCCGCGCCGCGCCGCCGCCGCCGCCGCCCAGCCCGGGAGCTGCGTGAGCCGGCCGGCCGGCCCCGGCCCCAGCGCCCGCCCAGCCCGGCCCAGCCCGGGGACCAGCCGGCCGGGGGTTCGCTCCCGGGGGGAGGGGAGTTTCGGGGGTCCCGGGCGGGGGAAGGCTCGAGCCAGAGGGGAGGGGGCGGCGGGTTTTCATGTGCCCAGCATGAGCTCCTACTTCGTCAACCCCCTGTTCTCCAAGTACAAAGGCGGCGAGTCCCTGGAGCCGGCCTACTACGACTGCCGGTTCCCCCAGAGCGTGGGCAGGAGCCATGCGCTGGTGTACGGGCCCGGCGGCTCGGCGCCCGGCTTCCAGCACGCCTCGCACCACGTCCAGGACTTCTTCCACCACGGCACCTCGGGCATCTCCAACTCGGGCTACCAGCAGAACCCGTGCTCGCTGAGCTGCCACGGAGACGCCTCCAAATTCTATGGCTACGAGGCGCTCCCCAGACAGTCCCTTTATGGGGCTCAGCAAGAGGCGAGCGTGGTGCAATATCCCGACTGTAAATCCTCCGCCAACACTAACAGTAGCGAAGGACAAGGCCACTTAAATCAAAACTCGTCTCCCAGCCTCATGTTTCCATGGATGAGACCCCACGGTGAGAAGCCTTTTCTCTTTCCCCCTCCTTGGTCTCCCGCGCTCCGGGGTCCTCCCCCTCCCTCGCCTCCTTTTTGTCTGTCCCCGGCTTTCCCTCCCGGCGGTGGGGTCTCCCCCGGCCCCACCTAGGTGCCTGAGTGGGTTTCTGGAGGTGGGGAGGTCCAGCTTTGGGGGGTGAGGCGCGGGGCTTGCCTGGGATGTTGGGGAGACTGGGGGGAAGGGGGAGAAGTGGTGCCTGGGTGCAAAGGGTTAAAAAAAAACCATCGTTTTCTCACCTCTGTCTGTCTGTCCAGTCTCTCCCTCTTACCATCTCTAAGATCAAAGTTGGTGACGTGGCTGGGAAGGGGCCTGAGGACCCTGAGGTGATCGGCCTTTGGGGGCAAATCAGTGTCTCCATAAGGCACAGAGCCTTAGTCCAGGCTTTCTTGGGGTGAAGAGAGACCCCTGTTTCCCTCCCCTAGCTGGGTCAGAGGGTGGTAAGACCCCAAGAACAGGTGCTCTGGCTCTCTGGGGGCGCCCAGCGCCTCCTGTCAGAGAGCTCGCCTTAGGGCCACTGCCCCAACTTTGCATCACTTCCCTCCATTGAAGAGAAGAGAGGAAGCCAGAGAGGAGAGGGGGGGAAAGAGAGAGAGAGACCATACAGATTAGAGGGCTCTGAGGTCCTGCAGCTCCTAGCCAACCTACCCCCTCCCAAAGGCTGGCTGGATCTCCTGGAGACCCTAAGAGCGACTCAGGTCATGTGCCCTCCAAGGATGGCCCCTCCTGGCCCAATTTCGAAGTAAAAGGGGAAGCAAGAAAGCGACAAGTTCCAGCGGGGATGGCCGTGATTTATTTGCTGGTCTCTAGTTAGCCATCAGGCCAAGCGGTGATACATTCCAGGATATCAATTATTTTTTTCTTCCTGGCAAAGCAACTCCTCATCAACAGTGAGCAAAGCCCCTCGTCTTTACCCCAGACCTTTTTTCCTTTTTTTGGTGGGGGGGGGGGGAAGCAGGCTGTCCCCAGCCCTGCTCACCAAATGCCACTCTGCACTTGTAAACAAAGCTGCGAGGGCCCTTTTCCTGGGACTGCAGGCCCTGTAGTGATCCCTGCAGTGATCCCAGGCCCCTGCCATCCCCGGGTTCCAGACAGACCCGTCCAGCCCCCACCTCCCAAGGTGAAGCAAACCAAAGCAAGCGCCCAAACTTTCCTGCCCTTGCCTGCTCTCGCCCCTCTGCCCTTGCCTGCTCTCGCCCCTCTGCCCTTGCCTGTCTGCGGGAGGAAGGGGACAGGGAGACCAGGAGGAGGACTTTAGGGGAGAAAGGATGGCAGGGGGAAGCTGAGCCCCCACCCAAACATAACAAGCCTGGGGTTCTGTTCTGTCCAGCTCCCGGGCGGCGCAGCGGAAGGCAAACTTACAGCCGGTATCAGACCTTGGAACTAGAAAAGGAGTTTCTCTTTAATCCTTATTTGACACGAAAGCGCCGGATTGAAGTCTCTCACGCCCTGGGACTGACTGAGAGACAAGTGAAGATCTGGTTCCAAAACCGAAGGATGAAGTGGAAAAAGGAGAACAACAAGGATAAACTGCCCGGAGCCCGAGATGAGGAGAAGGTGGAGGAAGAAGGAAACGAGGAAGAGGAGAAAGAAGAGGAGGAAAAGGAAGAAAACAAGGACTAAGCAAAAAAAAGAGAGACACCCCCCCCCCAACCCCTTTAGCAACTCCCTTGAAGTTTCGTTTTATGGTAGCGGATAAATTGAGAAGTTTACGACTGTCATTTGCTTTTATAGAGAATAGAATGACACTCACAACTCTAACTACCTGTCAGATACTTGCAGTTCTGGTTTTATTACCTTTGGACTTCCCCCATCTTTATTTGTTGGGGGGGGGGAGACTGAGACACAGCGGAAAGTTCGGAGTCTCTGTCTCAGTCTTTGCCCCAACACACACACACCCTGGTCCCTACCCCCACCCTTCAGAGACCAGCCAGGATTTTAAGGTCTGAGACCTGCCCTCTTTGCCCCCTCTCTCTCGCCCCTTTTTGCCACACTCCCCCCTCCCTGCTCCTTTGGTATTTATTTTAGAGGGGAGCCCCCCTGAAAATGAAGAAGACTCATGGCTTTGTGTTTATGCTAGGATTAGGTTATTAGATTTACTTCTTTTCAAAGGAAAGGAAAGAAAAGAAGGAAGGAAAGGAGAAATGTTGAAAGAAATAAAAAGGCGATAGTAAGGAATATTCCTTCTCCCTTTTGGGGGCTTCCCCCCTCCATTAAAAAGACCATCCCCCCACCCCCACCCTTTCCAGAGGGTAGACAGGAACCTGCAGTTGCTGAAAATGCTACCTAGCCATCCCATGGCCACCCAGGCCCATGCCTCCCTCCCCTTCGCTGTCTGATTTCTGTTGTTGGGCCTAGCTTCCCTTGAGCTGCATTAGTGTTAGTGCTCAGAAATCACCATAATCATGAAAATGATAATACTGATAATAATAATACTGATAATAATGATACTGATATCTTTAACATACTACCTAAAGGGAACCTGCAATAATCTTGAAAAATAAAAAAAAAGACATTTTTAGAAATCCTCATATGGGAGAAAAAAAAAAAGAGAAAAATTTTAAAATGAAAAAAAAAACAAACCTCCAACGTATTTTATCACTACCTATAGAGAGAAATCCTGCTTTGAGAGTATTTGTAATGCGGTTTTGTTGTCGTTTGTTGCTGCTTATTTCACTAAGAAAACCCAACAACTGAGACTGCCTAGCTCGCCGGTCCTGTGCGCTTTTATTGTGCTTCTAACCCCAGTAGAGTAGAACTAAATTGCACTGAATGTATAGTTAACTCTGTCTTGAATTCTCTGTTTATGCAATGTGCTCGAAAGGAAAAAAAAAACACGTTAAAAATATATCTATAATAATAATTTTTGGTCATTTGTCTTTATGTCCAGCTATGAATGTAGATTTTGTGTCCCGGCAGCCCTGTTCCTGGTCCAAGTACTTTGTATTGTATACGTGAGTCATAATAAAAAAAAAAAAGAGAAAAATATTTGAATCTGGAATGACTTGCTTCTTTCTCCAAAACCTCCTCCCTAGAATCTGTCCCCTCCCCGTCCTCATCCTCTTTTCTCAATCCTCTGGCAAAGGTCTCCTCCACGGACCTGGCTTTGGGGTGGAGGGGTGTAGAACTCATGTAGAGTTGAGAGGGCAGGCTGGGCTGGGAGGGCAGGTGAAAGGAGGGAGGCGAACAGGAGGAGGAAGAGCACTATGCTCTGGGGAAAAACCCTGGCTCCAAACACAGTGGGTTTCTGGGTGCCAGGATCCCAAATGGGGAAAATGGGGAGAAACCACCTCCCCGCTTATCCACCTTACTCCTCCTCAGCCCTGGGCTGGGCCTAGACAAAGAATCTGCCCCATGCCCTTCCCAAAGCTAGGCCTTTTATTTCCAGGGCTGGGGCTGAGGATGAGGCCATGAGGTTCTTTCTGATCGCCACATGCCCCTCCTGGCCAGCTGTGCCAGCACCCACCACCAGAGCAGTGAACAGGACGACGGGGAAAATATGAGGCGCAAGGCAGCCTGGAGGACTTGGCTGGGAGGTACCTATGGATGAGGAGGCTTAAGCCTTGGGGTGAAGGCCAGAAGAAGGGGCGAGTGAATGAGCTGGCACACCCAGCAGAGTGGAACCCCATTCAGAAATTCAAATTCAGTCAGCAGAGCCATCATTCACTTAACCCACTTGCTCCCACTCCAGCCTCTGTTCTAGCTGTTTCACACCCAGTCCAGGCTTCACCTTGGCATCTGGGCAGCCTGCCCTGCCCTCATGGTGTAGGCCATTGGCCTGGGGAGAAGGGACAGGCCTGCTGAGTGGACAGTCCCTCTACTCCAGCCACAGTAGGGTAAGGAGGGTCTTCATTGGACTCCTCACTCTCCAAAATAAAGGGTCAAAGGCTAAGGAACTCAGGGGGGCAAAGCGGTCTCTCCCTTTCTTGGGGGGGGGGCGGTCTTAGAGAAATCTGTTTATGCCAGTAAGATTCTGGTCAAATAATACCAAATTCCAGAGATAAAAGTCAGTCATCTGGTTCAGTCAGGAGAGGGGGAAAGGGGAGGGGATGAGATCTTCTGGTCTTAAAAACCAGATCCCCAAAGACTGAAACATTTTGAGGCCAGATCTCTCTCTCTCTCTCTCTCTCTCTCTCTCTCTCTTTCTCTCTCTCTCTCTCTCTCTCAATGATTTTCCCAGACTTAGGCTCAGGCCAACTTTTGTTTTCTGTAATTTCACTCTGTGTCCTGGCTCCCACCAAAGTGATCCTGAAAACAGGGTTGAGTCGGGGATCATGGATAGGGAACCATTGCAGCCCGAGACTGGGTGCGAGAGAGGGTACCATTTGAAAGCCCACGCTGGGGGCAGCCGGGAACAGCTTTGAGCAGCTTGGGGGAAATCTTTCGGAACCTGGGGTCCCCACGGAGGGCTACAGAGCCAGCCAGGTAACCCGGCTTGCTGCGCGAGACACTATCCGCGGGGAAAGTCCTAACAGACAGCGTTTCGCTCCCACCGCAGGCCTTCCCACGCGCGGCGCGTCCTCTCCAGACTCCGAGGCTGGCAGAGGGCTGTTTCGTTTTTAAATGTGGAGTTATGAATGCTATTCATAAAAACTGCTGGCCCAGGAGTGGAGGGGGTTGAACCCTACACTAAGTGGCTGGGGAGGATCTCACCTCATTTCCCCCCAATGTCCCATTCATCCCTGGCCCTGCTCGGCATTGCCCGTGGCCCCAAGCCGGCGTCGGAGGGCGGGCCGTGTGCATCTGGAGCGGGCTCTGGCCGCCCCCTCTGGCGGCACCCACTCCCCCACCCCTCCTGCCCACCGCCTCCGTTTTCTCGTTTGGAGAGAAGAGAAGGTAAAACCCGTTTTATGGGGGAATTTAATTGCGAGCAGGATGCGCTCTTTTTAGAAACGCGCGTCTCCCAAACGCTCCCGCCGTCCCATTACGGGAATGGGGACCATTCGGCTGAGGCAGTTAGAACTCTCTCCCATTCTTTACTTTTTTATTAGCCAATCAAAGTGGCTTCCGAAAGCGATTTGTGATTTGTGAAAAATAGTATCTTTCAAAATGCTGAGTGGAAGCATCTCCCTCATTTTGCCGTGAATTTATTATTCTAATCTCAACCGTGGAGACAAGATAATGCAGCTATTAAGTTGGGGGGCAAATTCGTTTCTGTGAATTTAAAAAATCCCTCATCATTTTCTCTCTCTTCCGCTTCACTGCCGAAGCCAGGGGAGGTGCAGGCCTGCGGGGAATGGGGAAGAAGGGAGGCGGGGTGGGCACTGGATGTCCTAAAAGGCTCCTTGAGGACCCTAGGACGGGAGAGTGGATTGGCCTCTCCATCCTCATCTTTTCCAAATGAGATGCCCCCGCGGCTGGGAGCGGCTGGAGCGGCCACCGCGCCCCAATTAGAGCGAACTCGGGACAGGTTGTGCCACAGACGAGAAGGAAAATTTCCGGCGAGCTGCCTGCCGCAGTGCCGTCCCATTCTCCCATTGTGAAAAGCTGGGCCAGCGCTTCCTTGTTGTAATTTTTAACTACCTGTTATAAAATTTATGGGTGGGTTTGTAAAAGAAACGAGGTCCCTGCATCCGGCGGAGGGAACTGCTTCGCTGATGTGGAGGAAGCTTGGGGAGGGGACCAGGGACCCCTGTCGGTTGGGGTAGGGCGCCCAGCCCTGAGAGTCCCCAAGCCAGCCCCCTGCTGTGCAGGGGGAGAGCTTTGGGCCTTCAAACCTCCAGCCGGTGGGAAGGGTGACTGGGCGATGACTGATGGGCAAGCAGTCTCTATGGGGGCTTTATTCCGAGCTCCCCCACACTGGACACATCGCCAAAATTTGGGGTCTGGAGAAGCGTGGGGGCGCCTCGGGTGCTCAGAGTTTAGTAAGAAAGGCGGAATTTAGGGAGGGAGAAGGTTCTATATTCCGTGCCTCCAAGGTGTGTCTCAGCTGCCCGGATGCGGGAGATTTTTCTGAAAAAAGGCGGGCGGGTGTGGGCTACCAGACGGGACAGAAAGGGCTTCAAACTGCCTTGCACCTAAAGGAGAAAGAAGGGGGTGGGGTGTTGGGGCCTTAGTTTTATTTTGAATTCTAAAAAGATTGAGAGTAGCTGCCATCTCGACCTTGGAATTGAGAAGACTGGACAGTAGGGGTGGTTTTGGAGGGAAATGTATTTTCTCTGAAAAAGGAACCTGGGAGTGAGAGTTGCTTTGGGGGTTCTAGAAGCCGCTCCCAGTGCCCGTCCAGTCCTGCTGTCTGTACAGGACTGCCCAGGCAGTCTCAGCCCTCCCTGCTCTGCAGACCACGGCCAGTGCAGGCTTGCCTAGAGGTTTCCAGGGGCCTGCCCCTCCCATTCCTGTTTGGGGTGCGGTGGGGGGCTGCCCAGACACCCCATTGGGAAGGATATTGTTCACTTAACAGGAGGAAAAAAAAAGGCAGGGGTGAGAAGCACACCCCTTCTCAGTCCCTTCCCCCTGCCAGCCCTCACTGCCCCAATGTCACAAACCTTTGCCAGGCTTCGGTTCCCCCAGATCCAACCCTAATAACTTATTTATTAAGGAAAATATTTAAAAATCGGCATGGCAAAGAGAGGCAGCCGGCTCAGCGCCCGAATCCTTCCTTACCTCCTCTCGCATCCCCCTTGCCCTGTCTGCGCGGCCCCGGCGCGGGCCCTGGGGGAGCGGGCGGTGGGTGGGGGTGCGCGGGGAGTCGGGGGCTGCTCCCTCTCAGAGAGAATTGGGTAAACATGGCGACCGCGGCGCCCATTTGCACACGCTACACAAATGCATCGCATTCCCGGTTGTTTGCAGAAAATTTACAGCTGAGTAATAAAAGTTTACGATCGACTCACAAGTTGGATTGGCCACAAGAAGTCATGTGGATTCCATCCATGAACGTGAACTTTTTATTGTGGTTTGTCCGTTCGGAGCGCTCCTCAGAACAGTCCTCCCCGTAAGAGCCTAACCATTGCCAGGGAAACCTGCGCAGGGCGCTCCCTTCATTATCAGTATTTTTTTTTATTAATCTGATTAATAATTATTTTCTCCCCCCCCCATTTAATTTTTCCCCCCTCCCAGGTGGAATCGCCGGAAGCTGGGGGCACCTGGGGCGGGGGGCGGGGGAGAGGCAGGAGTGGGGGGCACCCCCCTCCCTCCCTCCCGGCTCCCCGGCCCCCCAGGGGCGGAGGACTGCGGCGGGGAGTTGAGGCAGTAGCTGCAGCCGCCTCCCCTCCCCTCTCCCGGGCGCTCCCGCCTGCCCCCTTCTTGCAACGCTCCTTAATTTTTTATTTGGCTTTTCGGTTATTAGGGTTCATTTATTTTTTTTAAATGTATGTAAAGTATAGATGCGTGTGTGGAGCTGAGGCAGGCTCGGCGGCGGCACGGGATGAGGACAGACGAGGAGGAGAGGGAGAGGGAGAGAGAGGGAGCGAGGGAGAGGGAGAGTGACAGCAGCGCCCGGTAAGTGTTTCCTTATTGGTTCAAATATGTAACTAATGGTCCGTAGCTGGGTGGCGGTTTGGAGATAAGGACGGCCGCGGCTGGCCTCGGTTAGGGAGGAGAGGGGGTGCGAGAGGGTGGGCGCGTGGGCACTTGTGGGGAGGAAACGTGGAGGGGGGCGAAATCGGGTTAAACTGGGATATTAGGTAGTATGTGTGTGTGTCCTGATGTCACTGATGTCGCTGTGCGCCGAAGTTGGGGGTGCGGGGTGCGGGCCGGAGGCTGCGCCCTTGGGGCTCAAGGCCGGGTCTAGGGCGCCGCCCGCCGCCCGCCGGCGCTCACCGCGGCCTTACCTGCTGTTTGGCGGTGCGGCCTCTGGGCTAACGGGGCCGGGGCCGAGGGGGCCCAGAGGCGCACTCTCCGGGGCGCAGGAGGGAACCTGTAGGCTGTAGCCGTCGCCCCGGAGCACTGTCGGCCCCCCAACCCCCAAACAAACTTTCGCGCGCCCCTCCCCGCCGCGCGCCCCCTCCCTCCCGGAGCGCGCGGCCGCCGGGCTCGCACATGCGCAGTGCGGGCCCGGGGCCGGGCGCGGAGCAGGAAGCGCGCGCCGCCGGGCGGGCGGGCGGCGGGGCCTGTTAATTGGCAATTACTGGGGGTTTGGGGGGGGCGGTGAGCGAGGCTAGTGGCTGGTGAGCGTCAGCGGAGGGCAGAGCGTCTGCGCACCCCCAGCTCCCGCTCCCATTCGAGCGGCTGGGAGGATGGGAGGTGCCGGGCGCCGCGGGCAGATGGGTGGGGGTGGGGGCCTCCTGCTCCTCCGGCGCTGGGAGCACAGGGGCCTGTTTGCCTGCTCTGCCCCGGAGCGCGCCCCCCGCCCCCAACAGCGGCCACCCCACCCGGGATCCGTGCCGGACAGCCTAACCCGCCTCGGCCTGGCCGCTCTGGGCGGGGAGCGGCCCAGCCTGGGCGGACGTGGGCATTGGGGAGGCCCCAGCCTGGGTGCACAGCCCAGGCCTCGCCGGCTGGCGGGCCTCCGGGGTGAGTGGAGGCAGTGAGGCTCCTGGCGTGGCCGGCTCCCGGGGTCGGGACGTCAGCCTCGGGAGGCCCCGGAGGGTTTGGGGCGCCCGGGCTCTTCCTAATAATTGGTGCTAATGGCGTGTTGTATAGTCCTAACCCGACACATATGGTTTCATAACACAGTGGCTTAATTTCTTCCAAATGTACGTGGCCCTGAATGTGTTGCCATGTGATATATGACCCGCCCTGCTCCCTGGCCTGGGTCCGAGGCGGCCCCTGTATGTGTGGTGAGCTTCTGTTTATAAAGAGCGACGCGCACGCAAGCGCCTGCACACCCAGGCGGACACACCCCAGGGCTGGGAGAGGGGGCGCCTGCTCCTCCAGAGGGCGTTGAGCCTGGGGGCCAGACTCACCTCCAGTCCGAGTCAGGAGCGGCCCCCATAGCCCCCCAGAGGCCCGACCGGCCTCCACCAGCCCGAGTGGGGGAGGGGATCGCTCCTCGATTTCCTGTTTAAACCCTGACCCGTCGCCTGGGGGCGGGGGTGGGGGAGAGGAAAAGGAAGAGAACCTGTTTTTATCAAATTCCTAAAAAATATAGTTCGACTGCGTTCAAATCAAACCCCTTGGGCTCGGGTTGACGGTGAATCTTCCCTCCCCTCCCCCCGCGATCCCCTTCCCTTCCTCTCCTGCCCCCCCAAAATTCCCCTTTCGCAGACGACATAAAGGCCTCTGAGGTATTCTCCCGGGGGAAGCAATGGCACTTTCTCCCCCCCTTCCCTCCACCCCCCCAATAGGACTGTGTGTGTCGGCAGAGGCGTCTGCCGAGGGGCTAATTTCGCGTTCCTTGTTTACGATCGCGGAAAGCGCTCGGCTCTCCCCAAATGGGCCCAGCCCGCCGCCGGCTCCGGCTGCCGCGCGCTCTCCCGCCGTTCGGGCGCGGCCTCCGGGAGCCAGGCCGCGGCCACCGAGATCCCCGAGTCGGAGAGGCCTGGAAAGGGCAAGGGGAGGCCCGTGGGCCCGTGGAGGGGCCCCCCGGAGGCCTGAACATGGGAGCTTTTCTCCTGTCGTAATGTGGGAACCCGCCGACCGGTGAGGCCTCTATTTCTCTCTTTTGCTTGTATTTTATCCGCCCCCACCCCTGCAGATGGCCATACCCTCTGGGGGGGGGGGGACCACACGAGCTCCTTTGTTTGTCCCTGGGGAAAGGGTTTCTAAAGAAGGCCACTGGGGCCGTGGGGATATTAGAGGGTCCGGTCCCTTCCCTTTGAAGAGGTGGGCCTGGGCAAGGCGGGGTATTTCTCTAGGCTGCAGTGTGTGTGTGGGGTGTCTCACAGAATGTGCTGCTGGTGAGGTTTCAGGGGGTTAGGGTTCCAGTTGAATAGCACCATCCTGAGATGTCCTTGTATAATATTTTTATCAATTGATTTTCTGTCTCTTCCCTGACGAGGGTCCTCTAGGCGCCCAAGCCCTTCACCCCTAGACTCCTGCTGAGGCAGAAGGATGCAGAGAAAGTAAAAGCCATAGGGACTGGCCTTGGTTTTCCAGTTCTCTAGTCTGGCCAGGGGATAAAGACAGCCCCAAATGCCAGCCCCTTCCTTCCCTCCTTACTTTCGATTTTCACTCCCGTCCTCCTTCCCCTCTCTGGCGCTCAAAAAGAGGCACACGAGGGGCTACCAGTGGCAGCTCTCAACCGCCTCGCAGGCCAGATCCCCTGTAGACATGGTCCTTGGTGCAGGCGAGTTCTGCAGCGATTATCTAATAATAGCCTGGGCTGCTGAGAATAGAAGCTGGCTCAAGGACTCTGCTCACCAGGGGCTCAGGGCTGGGCAGAGGCACTGAACCTGTGTGCTCGCACCTGGCGATGCTGACACAAGCCCCCAGGATTTAGCTCTGAGTCCACTCTCTGGGCATGCCAGGCCTGCCCCTCACAGGCTTTGTCAGCCCTGGCACGGGCTGTATTTCATGCACCAGCTCCTAGCGAGGAGGAACTGGGCAGAGCAAACCCTTTCTCTCCGCGATCTGACAGTTGTGATCCCCGTGAAGAATGCGACCTTGTTTGGAGAAGGCGGCCTTGTTGGGTTGGCTGTTGTGTTTGAAAACCAGGCTTGGTAGCTTTGTACACATATATACGGGCTCAAGTGTACAGACTCGGACTTTTGCGTGAATATATACAAACTCGTATTTCCTCATTGGTTTAATTGTATATTACCATGCCTGTATTCGCTCAGACACCGTTTTATGTGCATGCAAAATTTTATTAGCCCTCCCGAGGTGGGCAAAGGCTCCAGGGGACACTGGGTGCACCAAGAAGGCTCTCTGTGCGCGCTCGACTGAAATGTGTACAATTGTATGTGCTGCCATTGGAGTATGCAGGTTCCAGTCAACAACAGACACTACAAAAGCTTTCTCGGACCTTAATACCCTTACTGTCCCAGCAGCTGGGCTGGGGAAATACTGATCTGTTCTGTTTTCTCTCCACACCTCCCCCCAAACTTCCTCAACCCAGAGACTGTTTTACCCAGCAATGTTGTGAGTTTTGTGAGAAAACCTTCTGTGGGGTTCTGTGTGCATTGCTTGGAGCAGTGGGCTGAGCCCTCGTGCTTACAGCCTTGCTGGGGCGGCGAAGGTGATTTGGTGGCCTCTGGGTCATGGTCTGGGGCAGCTGTGGGCTTGGGCCCTCGGAGAGGCCTGCCAGAACGGGTAGGAGTGCGGTGAACACCTACCCTCCAGCCTTGCTTACTCTGTCTCTTTACCCGGTTCAAGATTTGCCTGCGTTCGTTGTCGTTGTCTGTGGGATGGATTAGGGGTTCTCTAAGTTCCCCAAATACCTATATCTGGTTACAAATGAGACTTTGTTTTAATCCAGTCCGCCCCCGTAAGCTAGGAGAAGGCTGATGGGGCAATGCCAGAGGGTCTGGCCCCCTGTGGGCCTGGAGCATTGAGTATGGGCCAGGGCAGGCAATTAACCAGCCTCCTTTCCTAGCCTTTCTCCCTTATGGGGCCACAAAAAGACAGAGCACGGGGGAAATAAAAATGTCCTTAAAAAAAAAAAACCTCATAAAAGAAAGTAAGGACAGGAGAGGGGCTGGTGGCCTTTTCCTCTGCTCCGAGGCGATCAGGTTCCTACCAAGACTCTCCTGTCCAGACATGCTGTGGGCGCAGAGGCACGCAGCTTGCTTCCACCTTCTCCCCGTTGGCACCAAGAGCGGCCTTGGATTTTCAGGCCTTGGGCACCCCTGGGTGCCGAGGTGACATTACCCCCCAATTGTGCCCCTCTCCTGGCCCACGGCCTCTGCCACGGTGGCAGCGGCAGTGCAGCTGCCCCTGTTTATTGTGTCTGTGAGGAGTTGTTTACTTGTTTTGTCTGCTGCCACCCTGCGTCTGAAACCCGCCAAACCAGCAAACTCACCCGGGAGAACAAAGTGCAGTGCTATCCTGACTCCCTCCCCTTTCCAGCACCGCGCCCAGGCCCTTCCAGCCCTCACCTCCTCCCTCACCCTCTCTTTCTGAAGGGAGGAAGCAGAAATTGTACTAAAACAGGGCAGCTGTTTATAGGGGGGATTATGGGGACACCATAAACCTTCGGTGTCCTGGTGGTAGAGAGACTTGGAGCAGCCCTCCCCTCGCCTCCAGCTTTTCTTCCTTTCCCCTGGCAACTGCCTGGTTAAGGGGGCCACAGTCACTGAGAAAGCCGAGCCCCCCCTCATCCCTCTCCCCCACTCCTTTCTGCAGGAGTTTTCCCTGAGACACAGGTTGTTGGGTTTTAAATCAGGGTAATGTTGGCAGATTCGTAAAGCTAGATAAAGCATGGCGCTCACCCTCCCTTCTCCTCGGCCCCCCAAAATAGCAGTGAATTTAAGCAAATCCTACAAAATTAAATTGCCCCTCCGCTAAAGATCCTATAAATTTCCAATCCCGCCAGGTGTAGAGTCAGAGAGGCAGCTCGGCTTGCCTCTAATTTTGCTCCTGGCTATCAAATCTAAAAGAGTATCATTGAAGTAAGTAATATTCTCCTTTCTGAAATTAATTCCCCCCTCCCCATCTCTCTCCCTCTTTTCGCCAGCACAGATTAAATGGTTCTTTCAAATCTGCAAACAATAAAGGATAAAATTATTTATAGGGAAATGAGGACTATGTTTCATTGTTGGCTTATTGTTCCAGAACATAATAACATTTTATTTTCAAGTGGGAGAACTCACACAAGGGGGAGAAGGGGAAAGGAAAACCAAGTGAGGGGAGGCAGGGCACCCACACATAAAAAGCTCCTGTTGTATATAACTTTTATGACATTTACAATTTCCTCATGACAACTCACTGTGACGTCATAAATGCCATGTTCTCGAATTTTATAATTCTCATAAACCTCCAAAATTGGTCCAAGCAGCACTTGCTCAGTGTGGAGGGTCAGAAGAGAAGCCAGGAAGTCGGGAATCCTTTGGCCTCATTCTGGGGGCCAAAAAATTCTGAATATTTTGGATTTTCATTTCTTCCTCCTGGACCAAGCAAACCACTCACTTTGCCACCCATCCCCTTCCCCGAAAGCTCTCCTCTGCCCCCTCCTCAGCCCATAATCAGTTGCTTGAGACAGAGGTAACACGCTTGGGGGCCAGGCCACAAAAGCCAGAGATGATTTCTTTCAGAGGGAAACCACAAGACTGAGTATGAGGGGACATATACTTGGGACCTATTTTATTTTTTAACCGTAAGCCAGAGAAGTGAATTGAGAAGCCAAACACACACCAGTGTGGGAGTTGATGCTTGCTGATGGTAGCAGCATTAAGTGGAGTGGTAGTAATGAAAGGTCAGGCAGAAACCTGGAAAGAGAGAGGGAGGAGAGAAAATATGATGTGAGTTAGCAGAGCCCCTCCATGTACCTTTCTTCTCTGCTTAATGACAAATAAAACAAAAGCAGCTTGGGCAGCCTCTAAACCTCTTAAAACCTCTTAACTGGAAAGAGGAATCACCAGCCCAGGCCTCCGAGGTGTTTGAAGCAGTTCTCAGGCACTTGACATGCCCCATCTGGCCTCTTCCCCCCCTCCCCAGGACCCCCAATTTTATTCAGCTGGCCAACTTAGGCCTTCTCCTATAATATCAGCACCCCCTGATGGAATCCATTTCCGGGTTGGGTGTGTCAAATTTCACTTTTCTCCAAGTGTCTCCCCGCCTGAACTTTGAAAGGAGAAGGAGCATGTTTGGGAAGGCAGTGTGTATGTGGGGAGTGATGTACTCAGACAACTTCTCCCACATATCCGTGAAAAACTGGGGGCTCTCAGAGAGGGCTATTCTTTGATGTCTCCAAGCAGACCCAGTACCCGGCGTTCAGGTTATTTGGTGGACTGAGCGATTCTGCAATCCTTTCATTCTGGATTCTGTGGAGATCAAAGGAGTTCATGCACAAAACACTGGGCATTTAGAGTAGGATTTAATTTCTTTTAAAATACAAAAGCTAATCATAGACCAGGTCGGGGCCAAGTGAATAGTCAGTCGCTTTAGAACAGCAAAGTCTTAACCAAACAGTGTGATTGTGAAGTGAGCTGAACAAGTACTGAAACTCCGCGTTCTCTGCAAGAGGGATTTCAGCCCTTGCCCAGTGGCACAAAAGGGGCCGGTGGGGGAACAGCTCCTACCAGCTCTGGAAATTAAGAATTGGCGGGTGGGCCAGGCAGCTGCCGTGGCTTCCAGGCAGCCAAACGCCGGCCTAGCTGAGGCCGAGCGCCGAGGACTGCGGATCCAGTGTCGGTTGGTCCCTGAGCAGCCTTCGGAGGCGCCGGGCTGTAGCTGGTGGCGCAGGCAGCCAGGCAGCCAGGAAAGGAGTGTGTGCATCTGTATGCGAGACTGGGTGGGTCATAGACATCCACACGCAGACTTGGGGGATCTGGGGAGACAGAGAGAGAACTGGCAGGACACAAATTAAAGCAGGACCTCTGATTGCTCCCAAATAAAAATTCCAGATCTCAGCCCTCTCACTTCAGATACCTTCCCTAAGAAATTAATATATTTCCCAGAGCAGAATGGAAAGCAAAGGCAAGCGAGGTGAGGCCTGACTATGAATCCCAAATTCCTTCTGAGCCAGAAACCACCCAGGTCCA